CTTTGATGGAATACTGCCAGCCCAGCCAGCAGGATAGACATTGGGGAGATCAAATAATTGGAAGACTGAATTTGCAAGAGCATGTCACCCACTCAGAGAATGGGACAAGTGCGTGTTACATACAGTGTGATATGCACCAGAGCAGACATAAGGGGGATGTGCTCTGGGTGCCCAGAAAAGAAGGCAACACAATCTGTCTGAAGAAGCTGGGGAAGCTTTGACAAACAATTTAGAATCTTCAAGGACATCAGAGGTTCACTTGGAGATAGGAAAACATATATAAAAGCAGGTGCTAAGTGGAAGATAGGAAAAGGAAAGAAGCAGAGGCAATATTTACTAAGTGCTGTGTATCTATCTGGCACAGCAACCTATGATAATGAAGTATAATTATCTTTTCAGGGTTGAGAAAAATGAATGGTTAGGGACATTATTCTAACATGTGCTGAGTGCCAAACTACATGGCAGATACTGATATTATTTCAATGAGTCCTAATAAAAAACACGTAAGGGAAATATTAGTACTAGTCCACCCAAAGAAATAAGGTCACAGAAAAATTAAGCAAATTGCACAAACTCCTAAATCCAACAAACATCATGGAAATGGGGAAGGGGTACAACACAAAATTAGTGCTGGCTGATTCTGAAGTGGGTTCTACCTAGGATGTGGAAGTCACTGGTTCAGTGTAGGTGACAGAGGTAGAAAGGCTACAACAGATCCGTGATGTCACTGTACTCCAGACCTGAAGAGCAATGGCCTTATCCTGTTGGCTCAGTGTTTAGGGAGAAAGTGATTTGACATTATTGAAAAATGTTAAGGCAGCAACATCTAAACTGAATTGAAGGGCGGAGATACGGGCTGAGGGGCCAGTGAGGAGGACATTGGAAAATTGTAAAAGAGATGCTAAAGTCGCATCTAAGATAGTAGTAAAGCTCTCAGAGGAAAAGGAGGGTAATGCAAAAGATCTTTAGGAAGTTAGATCCAAAGAACATGGTTTTTATTCATTTATTGAAAGAAACAGAGGAAGGAGAAATTCAAGATGATCTCCAAGGTCAGAGAACCAACTATGTGAAATAAAATAGAGGATGTGAGATGATGACTCTCTTTTTTGTAGATACAATATACAGTTGTATTTACTTTTGTTTTTGTCAAGTAATACCTAGTCATTGGAACAAATGAACATGTACCATGTACACAACCTTAAGGACCATTTCCTTTAGGTCTAATTAATGCATTTATAAGCCAGATAGGATCATACAATTCATACCAGTTTGGGAAATATGCTTTTTTCACACTTAACTACGAAGTTTGAAAGACTTTGCATATCAACAATTAAATTTTCATGGCTAGTATTCCTTTGGATGGACATGTCATAAGAATTTAACAAACCCCTCTCTGAACATTTGTGTTATCTTCAGTGCTACACAATAATAATTACACCTATATACACATTTTTGCTTCCAAGTTTACTTTTACCTGGGACAAATTCTTAAGAGCAAAATACTCTATGAAAGAGAAAGCTCCAGGTGATCCTTTTGGTGTCTCCTCTCAGGTTACCCTACACAAAAACTTCACATGGCCTCAACCGAGCAGGATATTGCCTATTTTCCCTCATCCCTGCTGACTCTGGGTATTAACATCCTTTTAAAATTCTGCCAAATTGAAAGATAGCCATTAATTTTCATATCTTTATTTTGAGTTTAGTAATTATTGGTTAGTCACATTTCTTCTTTAGGAAATTTTCACTTTTTAATTTTTCTACTGAGTATTCATATCTTTCTCATATCTTATAAAAAGTACTGACATATTTTCTTTTTTGGCAGTACTGGGGATTGAACTCAGGGCTTTGTGCTTGCTGGACAGGTGCTCTGCCATTTGAGCCATGCCCTCAGCCCTTTTTGCTTTAGTTATTTTTCAGAGAAGGTCTCAGGCTTTTTCATGGGGTCAGCAATGAAAAAGCCTGAGATTACTGTACAGTAATCCTCCTATCTCTGCCTCCCAAGTAGCTGGGATTATAGATGTGAGCCATGGCACCTGACTGCTGAACATATTTTTTATTTCACCTTAAGACAGTAATTTGTTTGCTTTATCAAGATATTTTCAAATATTTCACTTATCTTTGTACATGCAATTATTTATAAACTCTGTGTCTGATTCATTTTAGGTTTATAGCTTATCAACAGTGCTACGTTAACTCTTAATATTTATAATAACTGATATGCTTGGTTCTGCTTCTGCCTTACATAGTTTTATTTTTCATTCTTCCTTGCTATTTCTTTATATGCTTTTGATTGCTTAGATTTTATTATATTTTCCCCACCAATTTGAAGGTCATACATTCTTTTCCCTATGTATATATTGTTAACATATGAATTTGAGCTTACAGTTTTCTTTCCACTTTATCATATTGCTGTATATGAAAGGAAATGAGAGAAATTACAGATCAACAAAAATAAACCTGATAGCTTCTGTTTCCTTTCTCCTACAGCTGCTGACTTATTTCCACCCATCTCCCAGTTTCTTTCATAGTTTGACCTTTCTTCTTTATAATACACAATGATTATTTTCTTCCTTTGATCATGCATCAGCTTTACAAAAAGGAGATTTATTTGATATTTCTTTTTTTCAGTTATTTTAACATGATACTCAGAAATTTACCATTCCATAAGGTTTTCAATCTCACATAATTTATTAAATGCTGTTTTCTTCTTCTTATGTTCTTGTGTTTTGATTTCCTCCTCGGTCAGTGAAATGTGTCTTTATTTCCTCAAGCCATGCACATCCATTCTTTCTCTTCCCAGTACTTACCAATATCTTGCCCAAAATGGATATTTTAGGTTCATACTTTTTTTATTTACACAGTTACATATCTTATTCCATTCTTTTTTCCTGGTATTTGCTTTTGCACAGGACAAGTGAAATATCCACTTGACCTGCTTATACATATCTTATTTATCTTTCCTGTAAGTTTTTAATGTTTTTCCTTTCTCCCAGGTGTGACTTTATTAATTCTTCCTGAAAACTGATGACTATTTTTGCACTAAAGCTTCAGATAAACAATACAGCATTCTTTAATATCATGACTATTATTTCTGCCAGGTCTGCTTAGTTGTGTTTTTCTGAGATTATATGGCTTCTTTTTCTTATCCCCAATGGCAATGGTAATTTTGCAGTTACAATTCAAATTTCTTTTCTATGTCTGTATTTATCTCAGTCACTTTCTTCTTCAGCTTCTCCTACAGCTCCTTCAGTTTGTAGAAGCCTATGTTGTCTTTTACCTTCTTGAGGATTCTGATCAGATATTTACTGAAACAGTCATAGAAAGAAATATGTCATATGATGTGTAAGTCAATAATAATTCAATATGCAGTAATACTGAAAGCAATACTCAAAGTAATGTTGAATTATTTTTCATAAATAATGAAGAATGCTGAATTATTTTTCATGAATCCCAGATCGTTATTAGTAGTTTTTAAATATTTACCTCACTTTTAGTAGTTGCAAATCTCTCCAGAGTTAGAATTTTCTACTATATCATGAAGACGTGGTATCTTTTGTTTTTAAATATAATCAAGAATTTTAGAAGCATGGCCATTTTTCCAATCATTACATTGTTAATCTTATCTCTGACTATCACTTCCTTATACTTTTTAGTTTTATGTTTGTGTGGTTTTGCTTTAGCTTAAGCATCCAAGAGACCTGGGTTTGAGGCACAGCACAAGGTAAAGAACAAGCCTCTGAATCCAGACTGCCTGGGTTCAAATCCCCACTCTGACAATTACTCACTGTGTAATGCTGGCAAGTTATTTAACCTCTTAAACCCTTAGTTTTTCATCTAGAAGAAGGGATTTAATACTATTAGCAACTTCATAGGTTTTAAAGGATATTTAAAAATGATAGTTATGAAATACATTGAACAGTCCCCAGAACACAACAAATGCTATAAAAATCTGTAGCTCTGTTTAAAACATCTACCTCTATCATCTACTGAGTAGCTTTAGCCAACAAATCTTTCTAAGCCTTCATTTTCTCATCTTTACAATGGATGCAATGCTATGAATAAAAATAATGCATATAAATAATAATTTTAATGTTTATTAACCTGTGAGGATTAAATGAGATGAATTATATAAAACATCACCAAGTAAGTGCACATTCCCTGGTTCCTACTGTTTTTTCATAACCCAGTGCATCCTGGGACTACCCTACATTTAATGACTTGAATGAGCACAGCAAGTCCTGTTAGCCCCTTTATTTACTATTGAATTTCTTAATTTTGAGTTATTGTACAGATGTGTAACCCCAAAGGGATAAAGTTACCAATTCAAAGCCAACTTTGTCAGTGTGGAGGGAAGACTTGAAGCAAGGTCAATTAGATTCTGCTTTTAATCTTCTTTTCCTGTGAGCCTGGGAAAAGCAGGGTCTTGAATTCTTTTTTCTTCAAAGGGCCTGTTTCTCTTCAGTTGGATTATTTCCCTCAACGCCTTCACTTTCTCCTCATCCTTTATCTAGTGTTTTGAACAGAAACAAAGGGCTTAGAGCCTTTTGCATATCTGCCACATTCTCCTCCACACCTAGCAGATATTGAGGTCTCAGGATGGAGTGGGGTGCTGTAGAGGATGATGGAGATGAAATGGGGAAGGCATCATATTTACTAAGGTTTGTTTAATCCGTTGAGGATTCTTGATTGCTTCTAGTCCCTTAACATAAATTGCTATTTTGAGTTTTCCCACATATCAAATCAGACATGTCGTGCTGTGCTATGTTGTGATTGAAACTAATTGTGGACCAAAATAGGCCTCTAAAACCTGCATATTACAAACAAACTGTGATACTCTTTAAAAAATAATGTTGGTTGCTCTCCTTGCTTGAATTATGTTACTACTTCTTTAAAGAGCTACTGTTTGGCTGCTCCCTACCCCCGCCCAGTTAGTTTGAAGTATTTTGGTAATTCTGGATTGAGGGACCACATGAATGGACTTCTCTGGTCGCTTGCCCGCAGCTTGCCCTCCAGGGACGTACAAGCCTGAAGCTTCTCCAGGAGGAATCAGCACGTGCCTCCCGTGTCCTGGTGAAAACCACACCTCACCGCCTGGAAGCACATCTCCTGAAGACTGCATCTGCAGGGAGGGATACCGGGCCTCTGGCCAGACCTGCGAAGGTTGGTGGGCAAACAGGAAACAGAAACGTTGAGCACTCAGGCAGATATAAGGTGTTTTCATCTGATTCATTTAGAATGATCATTACTATCCATTTCTCTAGTCAGTTTGGGGGGGGTGGGTAATTTGATTTTATTACGTAGCTTTATTTGTCTCCGAATATAATACAGATCTGCTCCAGAGACTGAAGATCTGAGACTCTAGGAATAATATAATTGTGAAAACAGAAAGATGTAGCGATTAGGAAAAAATATAAAATGAATCCAAAAGAAAAATGCTGTAATTATAAGAACAAATTTGAATGACAAATGAGCTCATCTTGGCCCTGGTGGTAGTTAAATTTATTTAAAAATATATATTTTCGTAAGTAAATATTAATCATGCCAAAAATGAAAAACATTTAAATAGTAATACTATGTACGAGAAGCTATCACTCTTGGGGCTTGAGGCAGATACACTTTGCTAGACTTATTGTTCATTATTTCATGCTACCTTAACTAAGAGGGAAAATATCTAATGACATATGAAAGTCGAGAACCAGAGACTGGGGGTGCAGTCCAGCAGTAGAATGTATGCTTAGTAGGCATGAGACCCTGGATTCCATCCCTAACATTTAAAAAAAAACCTAAAACATCTTGTATCTGTCCATGTAAGTATCAAAATAAACATGTTTAAACTTAAATAACAATATTTAGCCTCTATTAAATTTTAATTGGAAATCAATGTCTAATAGGAGTCAAATGTAAGCGTTTTTGTTTCAAACATTCACTTAGAAACTCAAATGCAGCCACTGAAAAAGCTGTGAGGAGCTGAGACATGTGTAAGACCTGCCCCTACACAAACCAAAAAGGAGCATGTTCCGTAGACGAAGGCTGACTGCTTTTCCATTTTATTTCTATAAATGTTAGTTGTCCACTGCCCTGTCCTGAAGCCTCCTGAAAATGGTTACTTTATCCAGAACACTTGCAACAACCGCTTTAATGCAGCCTGTGGGGTCCGATGTCGCCCTGGATTTGACCTTGTGGGAAGCAGCATCCTTTTGTGTCAACCCAATGGTTTGTGGTCCGGGTCAGAGAGCTCCTGCAGAGGTATGCAAACTGCCGGTTCCCCTTGTTTATTGATGGTCTTGCTTGATTTTCTTGACTGGAAGGCTACTGAACCAGTCAGTTCTCTGTTTCTTTTTTTTATTTCACACACCACAGACCACAGAAAGGGGAAAAAATTACAGAAGTTTGAAGTTAGAAATGCTAAGTTCAATTGACCATGTGATCATAAACTAGGCCCTTCATATTCCTTTGAAGAAAAAGCAAAGACCTGCCTGCCTGCAGAGTTAATAAACAGGCTACTCAAACCTCACATGTCAAGCAGCCAAGACAGTTTGCAAAGGGCATGAAGGCCAGAGGTCAAATTTTGCAGTAGTCAAAGTAGGGCTAGATGGTAACCATGACTGTGAGACTTTAAGAAGCACACCAGTGTCCTGAAACAGGAACAGTCAACTTGCATGTCTCTAGCTTTCTTCTGGGATGGACAACATGCTATAGAAAGTGAAGAAATTGCTATGGTGAGAACCAAGGTCAGGCCAGTAGAAAAGAGGCCAGTAGCAGTGGTGGGACCAAGGCTCCCATATCAAGTACAGGGAAACAACACCTAGACCAGTGCCTCAATTCGCTGCTACTTGCCACCTCCAGTGTCTACTTCCCTACTTACAACCGTCACACAGTCCCAATGTCCTATGGCTTCACCGAAAAAAAAAGAAGTTTACATTTCAAGTCATAAAAAGCCACACACTGTTACAGAGAAAAATCAATCATATATTCCTATGAAGACAGCAGTTAGCATTTCTGTATAAAATGTAACCCTTTCTTTCAAATTCTTCATGGTGGGAAGTGAGAGACATTGCATTTTGACTTTCTACCTTGTGGTTGTCCCATAAACAGTGAGATGCAAAGTGGACTGTACCTTTGGGATGAGGCCCCTATCTCTAGCCTCCACAATCCCTGCCTGAGCCTTGCATCCTACATTAAAGCCACTGCCCTTCCTTTGGTCTTGGTCTTCATGAACTCTCCCCTGTGAGCAGCCTCTTCAGCCTGAAGGCCCTGGCCTCCATGTACATGTGGCAGACTTGTCCTCCCTCATGCCAGCCATCCTGCTATGTGTGACAGGCTCAGTCAGGAGGCACAGACACCATGTATGCTACTGGGTAAGAGGTTTCAGGAATGGGACCCTACACAATTTTAGAAGGAGCTTGGAAACAAGGTCCAGAGAGAAGTTAGAGGCTCCAGGAGTTCCTGATAACCTCAATCCCAGAACCCAAGCCTGCCGCATTGTGGAGGTGGAACCTCAAAGGAAAGATCGGGAGGTCTAAGAAAGTCTTGACCTCTGTGTAGCCACCAGTGGTTCTGCCATCAGCAACAAATACAGCCAATAGGTCATCAGGCAGGATGTAGAGTAGAGACAGGCAGGGACAAAGCGGGAGGGCCTGGGCCTCTCTGCATATGCCCATTACTGAATCTGACAACAATGACTCTGCTTCACCTCTGCCTTCCAAAATCAAGTGCAGGTCCCTCCTTTAACCAGTCCTAACCTGGGACCACAAAAGGGAATTCTGACAAGCACATTCCTCAGATTAACCAACTTCTTACAATACAAACCACAACACTTGGGCTGGGTGTGGTGGTACCAGTCTGTAATCCCAGCACTCTGGAGGCAGAAGCAAGAGTATTACAATTTTGAGGCCAGCATCCATGGCATAGGAAGTTTGAGGTTAGGGGCTACATAGTGAGACCCTGTCTAAAAACCCTAAAGGAGAGGGGACCCACAAATGAACCACAACACTTACTTTTACTATGATTAACTTGCTCCTTACCTCAACTGCAAATGCATTATGAGCACAGAGTCCTTGGTCCCACCTCTGGTGAAGGAATGAAAAACTGGATTTAACATATTGATAAACATATACATGCATGGCCTACTCTTGTCAGTTCTCTTCAGAAAGCATGCATGTTCTCCTTTATGTCATTTGAACTGCTACTCCAACATACATAAAATAATCTTAATCCTAGCAGGAAAGATGATAAAATCCCTTCAAGTTCGCTGCCAAAGCTACTACCTAGGTTTCCAGTAGAGGTGTCTGGAATGATGATCCTCAGGCCTTCCCCTTGCCTCATCATTAGTGGTTACTGATTTAATTACTTGAGAGAGTGTTCTATGAGACACATACCATATTTCACCAAATCTAAAACACATTTTTTTTTTTTTTGCATTTAACATCTCTAAAGCTGAAATGCCTCTTAAAAATCACTGGCAGTAAATCACATCATTGGTGTTACTGCTGTTCACTAGTGGTTCATAAAATAATGGTGTGCATCTTACAGTTAGGTTGTCTGGGGTCCTGTGAACTATCACAAGCAAGTGGGCAGGACTCACTTCTGTTTCTAGGAGAGTAGTATGGACAAAGTCACATTTTAGAGGTCTAATTTAATATTAAGAAAAAAATAATTTTAGCAATGTCTTTCTTTTTGGTGAACATTTTTTAAAAATTGACTCAAGAAGGAACAGTCAGTGGAAATGCAGCCTTCTTACACGTTTCATGGCACACTGTTAATGTTTTCGTAATGTTGAGCAATAATTGGTGGGCTACATTCTTACTCCCATAGGCACGCGTCACACAATGCTTATAGGCGTTTTCAATGTTATTTGAATTAGGCATTTTTTTTCTAAGCCACTAAGGATTCTTTTGTGGTTTCTCAATGATAACTAGCTAACACAACATCATAGTAGATTAAATTTTGTGATACTATTGTTTTCTCCTGAGAAAAAGCTTTATCAACAAGAAGCCTACATTTAACATCAGGTTGTCTTTGTTTGCAGTAGTGGACATTTTCAGTTTGGAGATGGGCAGGAATCATGTGTCTAGAAAAAAATCTGATTCATCTTTAAGATGGGAACCACAGAAGGTTCACAGTTTCCGTCTGTGTCTACTATGTAATAGGCTGTTCTCTTAAAAGACCAAGTTGCTGGGTTTGTTTTTAAAATTTAACTATTATTTTTCTAAATTCTTAATGGACATACAATAATTGTACATGTTTTTGAAGTACAATATAATAACTCAATATAGGATAAGTTATTGTTTCCTAAAAAGGCTACATAAATATTTAGCAATTGCTTTAAAATGAATGCAAGTTAAGAAACATTTATTGCAGGATTTTTTTTTTCTGCTTGTTAAAATAAAAAACCTTAAATTGAATCTAACAAATAAATGGGTTCTTATTAACCATGGTAATATATAGCCATTCTTGAGTGAAAAAATATAAAATGTTTAAGAAACAAATAGGAATTATTGCTTTGTTTTCCCTAAGGAACAATGAAAGTTTATTAAAACCAACATTCAAGAAGCAATATAATTTACATCTGTCTGAGACACCAATTCTAACTTATTGTCAGTACTCTTGAGAGATATCACAAGCATAGTGTTTTTTTTTATTTATTGAAAACTACAAGCTGTTAGTATGGTTTTCCAGATCAGAGAATTTTTATCTTACTCATCTTTTAAGCCAACCTGGCACTTGATACCTGATGGACACATTCAATAAAAGACAAAACGCAAAAGGCAAAATGTTATGATTTCATTTTTTATTAGTAGTTGTCTGCAGCCAAACCATCCTGGGGATAGAAGAGGGATAGAAGAGTTTTATATATTCACCTCTAATCTAATTTTTGAATTTCTCAATAAATCAGTTCTCTCAGGGTACTCAATTCTCAACTTATATTTGGTTCACTCAATATTTATGCTGTGCCAAGTAGTGTAACTTGAATGGGTCCGTGCAGAATAAATTCTGTCAGCAACTTCAGTTAAGATGCACTTCAATATTTTGCCCCAGCTTTCTTTACTGTTAAAGTTAAGTTTTAGAATGGAAAGGTGAGAGGAGAGGGAAAGCAAAGAAGTTAAAGAAAGAGGGAAAAACAAATAAACCAATAAAAAAACCCAAAACAAACAAACAAACAAAAGTTTCAACGATATAAACAGGGAGAGATAGTGTACTAATCAACAGTAAGCTGAACAGGCATTAGAGAGACAGAGAGAAGATTGAGAAAAAAGTAAAATAAAATTAAGTTTTCATCATAAAAATAAATATACATTTGCCTGGTTTAAATATTGGTAAATGCATAAAAGTAGAGGACAGAAGCATACATCTCACCCACAATCCCCCTACAATTCTTGAGTCCCAAACATATTTACAAATTTTTAGAGATTGCTATAGTGCCTTCTGTCCTTTCATGTTGCACAAGTACAAACTGAGAACAAACTCTTATAGAGGTTGTTTTTTGTACAATGTCTGATGCCTGCAGGACTACATCTGTAAACTATTGAGAGCTAGACATGGCGCATACATCACTAATCCCAGCACTCAGGTGCTGAGGCAGGAGGATCACAAGTTTGAGGTCTGCCTGGAATACCTAGCAAGATCCTATCTCAAGGGGGGAAAAAGCTATCAAAATGAATATATGTACCCATCTGTTGTCATACTTAGCAGAGTCCACCCTTTTCCCCTATGTTCCTGACTGCAATGCACATGCCTTCTGATGAGAAGGGTTCATTTTCCATGATCTGGACAGCATCCCCATCTCCCTGTTCCTCTCTCTTTTCGCTTTCCCCTCCCCCCTGTAAAAACACAAAATTACTACAAATTTAGTCATAGATCAAATTGGCTTTTATTTGTGATTCATTTTTCAAGACATCGTCCTTCTACACAATAAAATGAGAGCTCGTGCTAAACAATGTCAGAACAACAGGGTATATTAAGGGGGGAAGAAAACCCTGATTAGCCAACATCAGTTTACTTCAGGCTACTTTTTTTGTAGGGTTAAGGCAGAGGTAAATTCCTTCTTTCCTGACACAGGTAGGCTAGGATCTCCTGTTTCTGAGAAAAATGCATCTGTTTTGGGATCTATGTGCTTCCTGCAAATTCAGTTTGATTATGGGGCACTTAGCACAAGTGACTCCATTTTGGCTTGGTCTGGTCTGTTGGGGCCAAGTGCAGAGCTCATTTCAAAATAATGGCCTCCATAGTTTTGCTTAATATCCCTGATTCATTGATGTTTTCTCTTCTCCCTACACTCCGCTCCCCCCATCTTTTTCCTCTTATCTTCTCTCTCCTTCCTCCCTCTGCATGTCACTCCTTCCCTTTCTTCTCTCCTCCCCTTTTCTTTCTCCCTTACTCTCCCCCCTCCTTTCTCTTATTGGAAACCCTGACTGGAGTAGATCTAACCTAGAGCTAGAGGAAAGGAAGTGCAGAAAGAGAATATATGCTTCAGAGATTGTTTTATTCCCCAAAAGGAATGCACAGTAGGTCAGAGGCTCCCTCACATTGGGTGTAGACATTCATAGAGTTGAAGCACTTGAAGGAGTGATCCAGGAAGACAGGAAGTGACTGTTACAGAGTGAGAAACTTGAACCAGTGTTGGAATGGTCAAGAATACGACTCCAGGATACAGTAATGATCATTTACATATATAATGAAATCACTAGTGTGTGTGTGTGTGTGTGTGTGAGACAGAGAATTGAAAAAAAAGATGTTGGATATACTATAATATGATACTTCAAAGGATCCAGAGGTTTCTAAGGTGAGAAGAGAGGTGGAGAGAAGAGAGAATGATCTGGGGAGCAATAAAGAGCAATGAAGCTATCTCTCTGGCCTCCAGGCTCTGTCTGCAGAAGACAATAAGATCTGGATTAGGGTAAGAAAGTAAAGAAGTTCCAAAAGGAAGTTTAAGATATGAGGGGAATTGCTGAAGATTGGTCACATAATCCAGGGGCAAGTGCCAGAGTCTGTGGAGTGAGGTTTGTAGCACAGCTGGGTGGGAATAACTCCAGTAGATGAGAGATGACTTGGAGGCTGGGGTTTCCAAAAAGACTGTCATGAACAGGAATATAAGACATGATGGGTTTAACTGAAATGGGCTGTAAGGCATGGTGGGGGTTTGGTGAGAATCTTGACAGGAGAATTCAGAGCACAGATGTCATTTGTAAACATGCAGAGGCAGGAGCAGTCCTATTGCCGGTTTGTAGCCTCTCTGATGCAACATTGAGGCAAGAGGGTGAGAAGTAGCAGAATGGAAAATGGCAATATCTCTAGACACCGCAGGGAACTTATTCTGATGGTAGTGTTGAGGCTGGCTGAGGGATGGGGATGTTTTCAGCATCCAGGGATTGGTAAATACCATGTTGACTGGTCTCACATTGTGGATTGAAAGAGGTTCAAGAACGGGACCAGAACACCAGTTTTACTGCTCACCTCTCAGACAGAACTGGTCTGTGTGAGTGTGAGATCCCAGGTCACATGCTCTGCCTCTGGGCAGAGTTGGAACACTAGAACACACAAGTCCTACAACTGAAAGAAAGGAAAGATCTTTTCCTAAAATACTAACAGAGGAAAAGTGAATGGATGCTGCCTAGAAAGATTTAGGACTTGTGTCTAGCTACTAGTATTAAATAACAATGTCTTAAGACAACTAAAGGTTTTTCTCCCATCTAAACAGACAACATAGGCAATCAATGGCTGACCTAATAGTTCCTTTCTCATCAGAGACAGAAGCTTTATTTATTTATTTATTTACCTCCTAATTTCTCTATCATCTTAGTGCATGATGCATTTCCTATAGTATTGTATACACAGTGGTATGCTGGGGTATTATCTCGTATCTGTATATTATGAGAAAGAGAGGAAAAGGGGAAGGCAAAGAAGGACTCTATCAGTTGAGACAGTCCCCTTTAAAACTTTCCCAGAAGTCCCACACAACTTCATCCATACCTCATTGGCTCTCATTAATTGCAATGAATTATAATCTTATAGCTGGACAAATTACTAAGCTAACTACAACTGGACAAATAGCTACTGGGTGGGCAATTCACAGTCCACCTTTCTTGCTAAAGCAAGAAAAAATAAACTGATGTTATAGCACATAAATCAAGATTAGTATGAATGAGGATTTGCTGTAGGTATGTGGGTAAAAAGTAAAGAAAATGCTAAAAGAACCAAGGTTGTGATCAGACAGTGGAATACTGGAATTTAGCATTATGAAAGTTGAGCAGCTTTGCAGAGGTGAGAAAGTCTAAGACCTGAGCTGATCTTGAATTTGAAACTTCTGTCCTAGAAAAGACCTCTGGCTTTTGTTGGAATATAGTCTGGAAATCACAGCAAAGGCCAACTGAGGGCTACAGGTACCTCACTTTGTAACCTACCATCAATCTGCAGCTATCATAGTCTATTCAGGGCCAGACCCCCTAGAAAATTTAAATTTTCCATGTGTGAAACACTGTAAACAGTGATACTGTTTGGGTAATGTGCTTGATAAAACATAGCCTTTGAGGGGGGCTTGGTTTACTGGAGTTTGAACTCAGGGCTTCAGGCTTGCTAGATGGGCACTCTTACCACTTGAACCACACCTCCAGTCCATTTTGCTCTGGTTACTTTAATGATAGGGTCTCACTTTTTGCCCATGCTAGACTGGAACCACAATCCTCCTATTTTAATCTTCCCATTATTGCTGGGATGACTGATATACTTCCCACACTGAGCTTTTTTTCCATGGAATGGGGTCTTGTGAAGTTTTTTGCCCAGGCTGGCCTAGGATTACTGTCCTCCAGATCTCAATTTCCTGAGTAGTTTGGGATTACAGGTGCACACCACTGCACCCAGCTAAAATACAGACTTTTAATTAACCTATACTAACTAAAAATTTGATGGTGTGTTACTTATTGCTTTGCCATTTTAAGAGCAGGAGTTTTTCTTGCTTGCAATGTATAGACATTATTAAATTTAGAATTATGATTCTGTCCTTATTTAGTAAAATGTAATCTTAGTTGTTTGCATTTTATGTAGTGAGAACATGCCCCCATCTCCGCCAGCCCAAACATGGCCGCATCAGCTGTTCTACAGTGGAAATGTCCTACAATACAACATGCATGATTACCTGTGATGAAGGATTCCAGCTAGAAGGAAGTACTAAGCTTACCTGTCAAGGAACTGGCCAGTGGGATGGTGCAGAGCCCCGGTGTGTGGGTAAGTTCCTGGAAGGTGGGTGTTTCATGTCTCCAGCACCCTGATTTATCATATTCTGTGAAGACCTAGAACTAAAACCTGGTCTGTAATGAGCGAAATAAACACCCACATGGTGGATGGAATCATGGAATCATGATGTTGGAAATACCTGGGCAAGTACATTGCTTTGTTCCTCTCCTCTGCTGAAAAGATTTCTACACTGAGCTCAATTTTCCAACTCACTGTTGTTTACAGTTTCAAATGACAATGCTTTTTGGATTTTTTAAAAGAGCAAGTGCTGCATAATCCCCTTGCTTTGTTAAATATCACCTTTTCCTTGTTGAAAAAACAAACCTGTGAGCCAGAGAATTTAAAAACTCCTGTCATTGTTAAACAGGAGAAAAAAAACTGAACATGACTGTAAAGGCATAATGAAACCTATTAAAACTTGCAGGAAAATTTTCTGCTTTTACTTCTTTTTATATTTTTCCAACAGGTTTTATTCTATTTTCATATAAGAATACAAAGTACGTCCACCACACTTACCCTCATTTACCCTTTCCTTATACCCTTCCTCTCCCAAAGTCCCCATCCCTGGAAAAGACCTGTTTTACCTCCTGTCCTTCATTGATTTGAAAGTGTATATTGATTGTCCAGGTGTTTGCCTTGACATTTCAAACATGTATATATCGTGCTTTGATCAGATTAACCTCCCCATTACTTAATCTTTCTTTATCCCCATGCTTCCCTATTTCAACAGCTTATTGTGCATCATGTTTTATATTCGTACATGGACTGGCTGTTTCAACATTTTTCATTCTCCAACATTTTCTTTCCCTCTCTTGCCTCCCATAGTCCCCTCAGACAGAACACTATACAGAGACAGCAATCTTGTTCCCTCTCTCATTATATATATATATGAATACATATATCGTCATATATGTATTTATGTGTACATTTAACTTAAAGGTCAAGTTTGCACATATGAAGGGAAATATGTGACCTTTGACTTTGTGAGCCTGGCTTACTTTGCTTGACGTGAAGTTCTCTAGCTCTATCCATTTATCTGCAAACAACATAATTTCAGTCTTCTTTATGGTTGAATAGGACTCATTGCAAGAAAGATTTTTATGGAGGGGATAGACAGAGAGGGGCTAAAGAATAAAGGGGGTGAATATAATCAAAGTGTGTTATATGCCTGTATGTAAATATCACAATGAAACCCCCCACATTGTGCAATTAGTATGCACTAATGAAATGTGGGGAGAAAAAAAAGAAAAAATAACTGAGCATGTAATTCAAAAATGAAGAAAAGAACAATTGTGTGGAAAATTTAAAGGAAGACATACAGTAATATTTTAAGCAAAGGAAAGTGAACTCTAAGGGGAGATGGAATACTGTAGAACGATAGAAAGGGAGCTCTTTCAATGACGCAAGCTTCATTTAAGAATTTAAGATGTAAGCAAGGAAAATGTAAAAGCAGAATTTTTTTCTAAGATGCTATAACCAAGTATATAGAATTCTGAGGATTTTTGTATAATAAAGACAGTGCAGAGATTTGTGCACATAAACTGAGAACTCTTGATAATATCCATGATTTGCAAGGAAATAAAAATTATTAAATGATGCAAAAAATACAGAAATGCTAATGTACATTTACTCATAAAATGGAGAAACCTGTCATAGTATTAATTACTCCTCCAAAAATGACTGAAGGATCAATGAGCAGAAATTCTTTTGAAATTTAAGAACCAGTAATTCTCATACCATGCAATTAACTCAAAAAAGCTATCCAATTCATATTATCAAACTATTATTGTATTGTCAACTTAACTTACTTTATGTATAACCATAGTAATAAATATGCCAGCAATCCACATTCCAAAGAATGGTCTACCAAAACAAATAGAGTTTATCCTAGAAATGCAAACAGCTTAAGATTAGGTAATCTATCAACATAATAAAGCATTTCATTATAAGACAAATTGTATGGCTTCTTGGTATAAGACAAAAAAGTGCATTCGACATCATTTAAAACACATTTCAATATAATTTTAAGAAACTGATATATATTAGGTATCTCTGATATAATAAAAATGTCCATTTTACACCTGCAGCCACATATGGAGAAATAAGATACAGAATTTTATTACATCTGGAAAAAGAAATGGATGCTCAGAGCTTTACCCCTGATAATCAATCATGACACTAGAGATACTGAGATTCAAAATCATTGTCATTTGTAGATGTCTACCTAAAAAATAGAACAAGTCTACCTAAAGACTGAGAGTTCATTGAAGTCACAATAATAGCAAATACATAGCTTTTCTAGCTACAATGCTACCCAGGAGATATGGTGAAAAATCATATTCAGAATAACAGGATAATCTTAAACAGAAATGTGGAACTTGTGTTAAACAAACTAGAAAATGTTACTGTGAGACAAAGAAGAGTATATTAATATTTACACACAATTTTATCAAAATGTTTAGTTTTATCCCCATATATATAGGTAAAATGTGACCACATTTAGTACACTGAAAGGCATTTTATTTTGTCTCCCCCTTTTCATGAAATTAGGAAGTTATTCCAAGTTTTGTCTACAAAACTAACATAGTCAAAAATCACTAAAATAAGCTTGAAAAGGAAGAGTGATAGGGTTAGCAAAGAGAAAATAGCTTAACCAGTTTTTTAAAAATATATACTAAAGCTTCAAAAATTAAGACCAAAAGATTGCCAGCCAAATCAAGGATGCTAAACAGACCATGACAGTTCCAAGTTTCATGTACTCTGTACTGAGGAAGCCACACAGGTCAGTTGCAGGGGAGAGGGGGGTGGGGAAGATTTATTCAACTGACAGGGAAATTGTTAGCTTGGGAAAAGCAAAACAAAAAATAAACATTTTCTTTATACCACACACAAATAAATTCTTTATAGACTTTAAAGTACAAAGTCAAAATTAAATCCTAGGAGAAAATATAGTTAATTTATGTAAATGAACACTAGCCAATCTCAGAACTTATCAAGCATAAAAGCAATGGAAATATATTAAGAAGAAAATATTGGTATATCAGACCTATAAAAATTAAAACAGAAGGGTTGGGCGCAGTAGGTCACATCTGTAATCTCAACTGCTCGGGACACGGGTATCAGGAGGATCATGGTTCAAGGCCAGCCAGGATGAAAAATTAGCAAGACCGGGCATAGCAGTATACATCTCTTTAATCCCAGTGACATGGAAGAATAAGTAGAAAGATTATAGTATGAGGCTGGCCCTAGGCAAGAAGCTAGACCTATCTGAAAAAAAAAAAACTAAAGCAAAAAGGGCTGGCAAAGTGGCTCAAGTGGCAGAGTGTCTGCCTAGCAAGCAAGAAGCCCTGAGTTCAAAGACAAATACCCAAGAAAACCCCACAAACACTAAGGCAGGTGTGGTGGTACATACCTACACTCCCAGCACTCAGGAGGCTGAGGCAAAAGGATCAAGAGTTTGAGGCCAGTCTGGGCCATGTAAAAGTTTTTTTAGAGACGTGTTCACCTAAAGTACCATAAGCAAACAATAAAAATAGAAATTCCAAGAATTTTAAGAGACAACAGGGTAATTTTCTTACTATAGGAAAGGCCAGCCCTACAGAAAGGATATTGAGGCCTGTAGTTCTTGTATTTGAACCATGAATTTTGCTCTGAATTTTCTGTTGCTCAGAACAGAACAGGAAGTCTGGGCAGGCAAACAACTTACACTGTGTATTATTTTAATACATCAGCAAAGTGACTAGAGATAATTAAAAGGTACAGTTCAGCATTAGGTACAACATATCATAGACAGTTATGTAGTACTTTATGCCAACCCCAGGGCAGCACAGTCCTATTTTTCTTGGGTAAAGGACACTTCTAATTTGTGAGAATGCAAAATACATTCTCTCATCTTCCTTCCACAGAACGCCATTGTCCCACCTTTCAGAAGCCCAGAGGTGTCATCCTCTACCCTCTGCACTGCGGCAAGCAGCCAGCCAAACCTGGGATGCTGTGCCAGCTAAATTGCCGCCCAGGATTCATTTTATCTGGGGTAAGAGAAGTGAGATGTACCTCTTCAGGAAAATGGAGTCACAAAGTTCATGCCACTGTGTGCAAAGGTAGGTCATTACATTGGGCAGGTTAAAAGCCACATTCCTATCTAATGGCGTGTGAGCACGCTATGGGACTGTCCCATCTTGCAAATTTCCCAGCAAACCTGTGACAAAATGGCAAGTGCTACTCCAATAGGCACTATGACAATTTCTGTCTCAAAATGGTGGATTTATAAAATCCAATTACAAAATGTCAGGCATTGACAGAAGAAGTAGAAGGTAAGGTTAATAGTCACGCAGGAAATCAGGTAACTTTTTCATCAGGAGTTGAAAATCTTTGAGGAATTTCTGGTCTATGTAAAGTAGGTGAGACTGAATTAACTTAAAAAATTAGAACTATCGGCACTTGTTACATTCATAAGAAGACACTGTCATTTTCTCCACAGCAAGAAGAGATGACTATGAAAAAGGTATTCAAAACAAGAGTTCTTAGGACTAAAAAGTATTGTTAATATCTTCAAAAGGACAAAAATAACAATAAAAAATTGAATGGATATTGATGAAAATAATATTAGTGATTTGAAGAACCTAGCTGAGAATTCCTTCAGAGTGAAGAAGAAATAAACAAGAAACTTGAGAATTCCAATTGATCTAACCAAAAATATGGAAGTCCGGAGACAGTTGTGATAAGCCAAGGAACCCCAGTGTCCATCTAATAAGAAGCACCAGAAGCCCAGGGGAAAAGGATGAAGGAAAAGGATTTTCCTATCATACAGTACATATTCCCTGAGCCCCAGAAAGATTTAAGCCCTTTGCCCAAAAACAGTCCTTGAGTATAAGGTTGGCACACCTCACTTCTCTCAGTAAAATTTCTGAGGTGCAAAACCAATGATAAGAACTTAAATTTCCAGAGAGAAAGAAATTCACCCCCAAACACAAGACTCAGATTCACATTACACTTCATGTACAATTCTAAACGCCAGCAGGAAATGCAACTATATCTTTCTAATACAGAGACAAAATATACATAAGCTTTAAATTCCAAATCCAGCCAAGCTACTACTAAAATTTAGCAATGAAAAGTTGGGGTTTTTTTTTAGAGTGTCAGAGTTGATATGCCACTTTACACATCTTTGGGAGAAAATTGTCCAGGTATAAGATCCTCCAACAAAAATAAAATATAAATAGAATAAAAATTCAAAGAAATGAGATGATATGAAATGCCGTGTAATCAATTCAGATTGATTCAGCTACCAGTTACAGAAGACTTAATTTAGCATAGCTTAAACTAAAGCAATGCATCATATTATATAATAAGACTGTGGCTACAATATTGCTTATTTGGATCTGTATGTTAGCACATTTAATTCAGTATTGCAAAGTCTCACACTGCATAAAGGATCACTGACTCTAATCTGTTGTTCGTTTTGACAGGACATTCTAAGATATCTAATTGATTCTTCTTAGTAGCCTCATTTTCAAGTGTAGTTTCTTTGTGCCATAGTTAACAATCTTTTTTTTTTGTTTTTTCTGTGCATTTCTTTGTTTCACTGGAAAAATACTTACCAGGCTCCTTTATAATCCAATGAATAAGGGATATTAAAGGACTTAAACTCTACTGAACAAAATTTAATTTCAAATTGTGTTGAGTTTATAACTGGGAAGTATGGGGACTGTGGGAACTTGGGAAGTTAGGACCCCATGACCCAAAAGAGGAAAAACTTCTTGAACTGAGAATTAAAGGACAACCACAGTTGTCAAGACAAAGGGGAAAGAGGGCATCAGTTCAGGCAAATAAAGAGCATGGGCAAAAGACTCAAGCAAAACAAAGACCACTGAGCTTTCCTGGTACTGACAGTAATTCCATATGAAGAGTGAGTGCAGAAGGGGAGCTGTAAAAATGAGTTAAATTCAGCAGATACCAATTCAGGAAGGCTCTCTTTCACTAGGCCAAGATGGATTGTGGAAGGCAAATACATATTCCAAATCAATCAGCAATTGGGGCATAATAAACCACAAAGCATTAGTATAACCAGATTTTTATCTCTTTTTTAAATGACTTAGTAGTACCTAATCAGTGTATTTTCTGGGTCAGATGTGGAGGCTCCTCAAATTGACTGCCCTAAGGACATAGTGGTGAAGACTCAGGAACAGCAAGACTCAGCTTACATTACCTGGCAAGTCCCAACAGCTAAAGACAACTCTGGTGAGAAGGTAAGGCTTGCACAAATATTTGCATCCTTTTTCAAATGGATTCTAAATATACTGCACATGTGTGTGACACTGAAATTTTATTAAACTTTACTATAATAATGATAATGTATATTCATGAATGTTGAAGATTCATCTGTCAGAAGAGCCATCAGCCTTGAGGTTTTTTAAATAGAAATCTCAGATTAAAACATCTCTAAAACAGAAACTTTTCACTGCATGGATTTGCTGCATTGTTTGCATTAAGGGAAGAGAACATTTCATACCAAAGGACTTGGTCAACTATATCATAGACTGGACTAAAATTTATTCTCACAGGACTGAAAGATGTCAGCTAGATTTAGGATACAAAAACTGAATACTTACCTTGACAGAGTAGAGCACGTGGAAAACAGATCACAGTTGGTTACAGAAGTAGATTCTCTTCAAAGAAGCTAGCTGTAAGGAAAAGAAGATAATTACTGTGTAGTAAGGGATTGAGGACAAATTTCTGTTTTCATTTTCATTTAATGTCATAAAAGACTTTTAAACAAGTTGCGCATCTGTGGCTCATATCTGTAATCCTAACAATTTGGGAGGCCGAGATGAGGAAGATCTAGGCTCCAGGCCAGCCCAGGCAAAAGCGTTTGCAAGACCCCATCTCAATGGACAAAAGCTGAGTCTGGTGGTGCCTACCTGTCCCAGTGATGGCGGGCCACATAAAATAGGAAGACTGTGGTCCAAGCTGCCCTAGGCATAGAGTTAGTGAGACCCTTTCTCCAAAATAAACAGTGCAAAAGGTGCTGGAGGCATGGTTCAAGTGATAAAACACCTGCCTAGCAATTGTAAAGCCCTAAGTTCAAACCCCAGTACTGCCAAAAAAAAAAAATATTTAAGCAGGTTTAATTAATGATAAGACGGATCTAATAGAAAGTGAAAATGGAGGAGCAAAGAGAACTCATCACTTGTCCTTATGAAGGCAGAGAGAGGGAGTCCAGTGCACAAAAGAATTCAATTTAGACTTGAGGAGACCAAGTTCTTTGATGTTCACTATAGAAAAAAAGAAAAGAGGGAGAAATTGGGTAGTAACAGAGGTTATGGGATACTTTTATTTGACAGTTACTGTAATACTGTAGGGAAATAAATAACTAAAATGTTCAAGTAAATAGATTGAATGGTTAAAACCATTTGTAAATCCACATGATTATAACTAAGGAAGAACTCTGGGGAGAATGAACACAGACATGTGAAGCCACCAGCCTTCAGTTCTTACAGAGATTATGAATGGAATGTAAAAATGAGCAAACAGATTGAAGGAAAATACTGGGAACCAATTTAGGTTATATATATTGTGGGGTGGGAGAGGCTAGACTCACAAAATAACCACATGGCTAAAAGAAGGGGAGACCATGTGGGCCCTGCACATGGGTAACATTCCTGGGCAGCCAGGCAGAGAACCCCAAGTCATGTGCCAGCCCCAGGCAAAAATGAGAGACTCTATCTGAAAAATAACAAGCAAAAAGGGCTAGAGGAGTGGCTTAAGTGGTAAAGTGCCTGCCTAGCAAGAGAGAGGCCCTGAATTTAGTCCTTAATCCCCATTACACACACAGAGAGAGAGAGAGAGAAAGAGAGAGAGAGAGAGGGAAAGAGAGAGAGAGAGAGAGAAGTGGGGAGAGAACAAATGGAGCTGCTATGAATATCCTTTTACTGAATCTTTGCCTTTATTTTTGATTATTCACTAAGGGAAATTTCTTGATGTTAAATTATATGAACAGAGTGGTCAAAACTATAATCATATAACTCATTTTGAACAATCTGAGCTGGGATAGGCACCAGTAGCAAAACAACTTTTTTTTTTCTCTAGTCAGAGGCTTTAGTTACTTTAGGATATACAAATAGTTTCTTTCCATAATTAAAACCCACTTTCAGGGATTAAAAAGAAGAATCCCACTATCTAAATAAAAATTTGAATCTTGTATCCACTTCAAAGCTTTTGATTTCTTCTATACCTCCCTCACCCCTGTCCCTGGTTTTTGTAAAGTCAGAGCTGGTGTAATAAGCAGAATAATGCCACCCCAAAAATGTCTTTGTCCTCATCCCCAAAATCTGTGAATGTTTCCTTAGAAGGCAAAGGGACTCTGTAGCATGATTAAACTAAGAATTTTGAGATGGGACGACTAGCCTGGATGATCCAGATGAGGCTGGATGACCCCTAGGCCTTAAAAAGAAAGTAGTTTTCCCAGCTCTGGTGAGAGAGAAAGAAGGTATGACAGAAGGGCTAGAGAGATATGAAGTGGATCTGCCTTCGCTGCTGAGTTTAGAAGCTAAAGGAAGCCACAGAGAAAGTGTCTTTCTGCTAGAAAAGGCAGCTTCAGCTCTGCTAACACCTCAATCTTTACCCTGTAAGACTCACTAGTATCTCTGACCTATAGTCCTGTGATAATAAATTGTGTTATTTTAAGCTGCCAAGTTTGTAGGAATTGGTTATGACAATAAGAAACCAGCATGGCTGGGCGAGGAGCAGTTTTGAGGAAAGGTTTAAGTCTTTCATTTAGAGTGCTGTCTGGTCCTCTCTAAATTGCTGATGCACTCAGAGAAGCAAACATGCAAATGTTGACTCTTTCATCCAGCCCATATTTAGCTTCTGCAGGAGACGCTCTCTGGCAGTATCTCTTCCTTCCCCCCTTTCACCTCCAGACCCAGTGATAGATCCCACAACCTCCAGAATGAGCGCAGAAGCACCACAGCTCAAGTACTGCTCTTTTCTCCCTTGGCCTGTGTCTTCACATTGCCAAAGAATGGCGTGTGAGCTAACCATGGTCAGAGCTTCCTTCCTCCCGTGCATTGCTTGGTCAAGCTCTTGCCCTCAGCATTCACAGGGGAGAAATTGAAATCTGCTCATGTGTCACTCATATATACCTCTAAACTCCAGGGGATGGGTGGCAACCTTACCGGCCCTCACTACATTAGGGTCAACTTATGCGCGTCTGTAGCCTTGCAAGCCTCCCATTTATGCAGGCACTTTACCCTCCCAGTGTTCTATGAAGGGTTGATTGAAACCCACCCACTTGATTGGAGGCAGTCATTGTCCCCACAAAGAGAGAGAAGATGCCAGCATTCTAGTCAAGTGAATGCTCCTATTTCCACAAAATTGCTCTGTTAACATGGGCACTGAGGTGCAGAACCCATCAGCTACTTGAGTGTAAGCCTTCTGATAATTTGCCCATCCACAGGGGCTGTCCTCAGAACATGGCATTACTTAATCTTCAAACTCTTCTATGTTGGGACTTTTGCTGCAATTATGCAGAATGAATACACAGTCTTCTAAATAAAAGTCTTAAAATATGCATAAATCTATAATTACCTAATTATCCTTGCATGATTATCTGTTGAGACTCTCCCAGGGAAAATGAGCAAACTATTAGTTTAACTTTCAGCCATTTTTGGTTGTGTTGGTATACTCTGTAGTTTTTATTCCATTTAATTATTAGTTATTCACATTATATATATATAATATATATATATATTATATATATATATACTATATATATATATATATATATACACACACCTTTCTAAAATTATAACCTTTGAGATCTGTTTTATGGCCACATTTATAGCCTCTGTCAGACTATGTAAATCTTTATTTGCATAGTTTTGGTGTTTGCTGGCAGCTCTTTTCATGCCATGTCTTTCCCACTTGTGATGGATTTGTGATTCATCTCTTGTTTACAGGGCCTGTGCATGGTCAAGAATATCTTTTATTTCCAGACTAGCATTTAGTGACAAAGAGAATTTTATGTAAGATGATTGTTCTCCACTTTTAGGAAATCTTTATTTTTCCCAATGCTGTAGAAATTTTTCATTATAGATGCAACTATCTATGATTTGTTTGCGTATTGGTTTATCTTCATTAATAATAACTATTATTAGTTAATAATGAAACTAATTTCCTGGTACATCAAGAGTCTTTTTATCTGCAGCCATAGCTTTCTTCAACTTTCTTAGAATTTCTTCTGTATCTTAGAATTTTCTCTTCCTTTTCCATTCATTCAATTTTTTTCAGTAACATCAATTATTCAAATGTTACATTCTCTACTTACTCTTTTATATCTATTATCCATTCCATTATTTGTACTCTTAGGTTTTTTTCCTTGGGTTCTGAATGAAACTGTAAAGCTTACTTTTTATATTCTTGATTTAATTATCTGGAACTAAGTAGCTATTTAAATTGAGCACCCAGATATGATTTCATACATATATATATATATATATATATATATATATATATCCACATATTACATAAAAGTGAATAGTAGTTTAATTAAAAGAAATTCTACTGATAATGTAAAATAAAATGTAGAACATTTAGCAATATACTTGATGAGAAAAGTGAATAAAAACTGAAAGAAAATATTTTAAAAACTGACAGATAAAAAATGAAATTAAATGGCAATACATGCTGTATTTATAGATGGAAAAGTTAAATATTTATAGAACAAATATATGTCAATACTATGAACATAGTATTTTTGAAACTTAACAAAATCATTCTTGAGTATAAAGTAGAATACACAGATTAAGCATTAAAAAGAATTAAATGGGTGGATTTGATCAAGTACATTATATGCATGTCATAAATACCACAATGAAATCCCTCTGCATAATTAATTTATTATAATAAAATTTTTTTAAAAAATTAGAGAAATAGGGCTAGGGTTGTGGCTCAGTGTTAGAGCATGTGCTTCACATATGAAAGGCCTTGGGTGCAATCCTAGCATCAAATCAGTAACAAGAACAATGACAATAGCATCCATAATGTAGGGCAGCTTAATCGGCCAGAAATCAAAATCTTATAAAATAAAAATCAATAAAATGTTTGGTACTGTACCATAATGGGTGAGTGATATATGGATTTTAAATATATATCTCTATATATTTAATATATATATGGATTTAAAAATATCATACAGGAGAATCAATTAGCTTATATAAATGATGAATGATCTTTAAAATATGAGATTACATTCTAAATTATTTTTAAATCATTAAAAATGGTGTCATCAAATATATTTGGGTACTTATCAAATCACTTTCTAAGGTTACCTGAGGGTTTTTAAATGTGGTGAAAAATAAATATATTTAATTAATAAGTATTTTAAGTTGCCATTTTTAAGATAGCTGAATTAAAAGAAAAAATATCACACCAGAAGAAAATACTTTAAAGTTGTCAAATGTTCGAATATTTATTATATAATATGCTAATAATATTTTTATTACATCACAATTTTGAAAGGGTGAAGATAAATACTTAATTCAAAAAGAAAAATTCAAAAGAAAAAATGTAATGTCACGCAAACATATGAGAATTTAACCTTATCCTAAGACATCAAGAAACTATGGCTGGAGGTAGCTCAAGGCCTACCATGTGTTGGATCCACAGAACTGAAAATCTGTATTAAAACAATGACTGAATGCCATACTTTTTTCTTTCCAAAAATGATTATATAGACTCTGACACTGACATGATAGCCATTGACAATGAAAATGCAAATTGTTACAGTACCTCGGGAAAGAAATTTTGTATTATCTATCAATAAAATGTCCCCGGTTTAAGATTAATTCTGTTCATGGGAATCTGTTATAATGAAATAATAAAAATATTGCTAAATTATCTGGGCAAAATTGTCCATCCCAGAACTATTGTCAAGAGCAAAAATTTGGATCAAACTAATATTCTTGAACAGATTATTCTTAAAGAAATTGTCATATATTTGTTCTACAGAACACTATGGAAACATTTAAAAGTCATCTTCAATCCTAAAGACTGTGTAAGAACATACAAATGTTTTAATATGTTCTGTTTATGAACAACAGTTCATATGCATGCCAACACTATCAACTATGCAGACAGAGTAGCAGTCTAGAAAAAAACTACACCAGAAGACTGTGCCTCACTTTCTTACCTTTTCCCTTTAGGAAATATTGTATCATTTTAATATTATATGTTAATATATGATAATAATATATAAATCAGAAGATACTATTGATATTAACTTTAACTTTCAAAATATTTATTTGTTTTCAAAAGGTGTCAATTCATGTTCATCCAGCCTTTACCCCACCTTACCTTTTCCCAATTGGAGAAGTGGCTGTCACCTACACAGCCACTGACCTATCCAGCAACCAAGCCAGCTGCACTTTCCATATCAAGGTTATTGGTAAGTCTTCTTCAAATCACGTGAGTAGTTTGCAAAAACAGCCCAGTACCCCCAGGGACTTTGCTTCTTCTTTATCTTGAACAGCTTTCTTTCCACTGATTCTTCCTCCTGGTATTGAAACTGGCTTAAGCCCCTCTCTCTTAGAAACCTTCACAGCCTTCAACTATCACCACATTCCTTTGATTTCTTCCCATATCAGCCTTTTGGAAAGTTCTGGATGGTTACCATTTCTCCTTTCCTCCCACTAGTTCTTAAAGTCACTCAAGTCTGGTTTCTGTCTCCTTCACTCTTATAAACTACTATCATGATGGTCACCAGTGATTTCTGATGTTACTCCAACTGCATACTTTTCAGTCCTTATTTTACATCTTTTCTCAGATTTTTCATTGCCAACTACAACTCTACTTATCAAAACTTTCTACTTCCCTAACTTCCTTGGCACCAACCTTTCCTGGTTTCTTCCCCCATTTTTCTCACTATTCCTTCTTTATCTCTTTCCTATGCTTCTCTTTCTTACACCAACTCTCAAATGCTGATCCCCCCTAGGTACCAGCCTTGGGCTTCCCCTTTCTCTGTCTATAGTTTTTCTAGGTGATTTTATTGACTGACAACTCCCAGATGTCTATCTCCAGCTCTGACCGCTTTTCTGAATTCCAAATCCAAATATGAAAGAAACTTCCTCCTTGGCTTCCCCAGACGGCTCAGATTTACTCAAACCTAATATATTTCTAGCTCAGAAAATAACACAGTCAACCTTGTAGGTTACTAAGAAAAAACCTGGAAGTCATCCTTGACTCCTCCTCCATCACGAACATCCAATAAGTTTTCAGATCGTGCTGATTTTACCTACTTAAGGTCTCTGAAATCTGTTCCAGCTTTTCTGTCTTCATTCACGATTGCAGATCAGTCCTTTTGGAGGGGGAGTAGAGGAGGCTTATTGCATTCTCTCCCAATTGGTCTTTGTACTTCAGTCAATTCGATAGATACTCAGTTTCCACTATCATGGCCAGGGTGGTGGTGCTCATCTGTAGTCCCAGCATTCAGGAGCCTCAAGCAGAATGACCACAAGTTCAAGGCCAACCTGGGCCACATAGAGAGACCCTGTCTCAAAAACCAAAGCCAACAAAAAAAATGTAATTCATAGTCAGGAGATGTAGGGGTCTCTAATGGTCAGAAGCACAAACTCTAAACCCAAACTGCTTAGGTTCATTTCTTCACTATGTAAAGGCACCAGGACCAGTCACTTCTCTGTGCCTCAGTTTCTTCATCCAAAATTATGATTAATAAATATATTATCTTACAAGGTTATTATGGGATTTTTAATTAGTTAAGGTCTATAAACCACTTGAATTATTGCCAAACACACATTAAACTCTATGTAAACACTTCATAATAGTGCATCTGTATTTTGCTGTACTTATGTTAAGTCTATTTTCATTATATTTATTGCAAATTTAATGCATTCAATTTACCTTGAGAATTTTATATGCCTTCTTAAGATAATCAATATATCTCAAACTTGCTCCACAGGCTGTAAATTATAGGTTTTAGTAGAAGTAGATAGAAGACTCAAGGAAAAAAAACAATCAACTCATTTCACAGTGCTTAGTTGTGCAGTTGTTTTTTCAGTATTGTTTTAAACATGAAAAATGTGTTAGACATTTCTTCTGAAATTATGATTTTAAACATGGAAATATGATTTAGAGCCTGCCAAGTTTCACATGAAGATTCAGCATGGTGATATGGAAAATGTGTACTCCAGTATCTTACTAGATGTTAGCTGAACTTCCAAACTATAATAGAGAAAAAGGGAAAGGACAGGAAAGAGGAACGGGAGAAAAGGAGAGAAGGGAGACATGGGAGACAGGAAGACAGAAGCAGAGAGAAAATATTCCCAAGCCTGCATTTTTCTTGTTTCATCAGGCAGTTGGCACCTTATTGAGAACTGAATGGCAAGGAATTCGTCTGCCTGGCATTACGCAGAGTGCAGCTCGTTTGCTTTGGAGTGAAGTGGGCTTTCCCTGTCCCTGGAGGCTCCTCCAACTCTTAACAGCAGTTGACTGAGTCTTTCTGCTCTCCTCTACCTATAATTCAACCTTAAAATGTTTGGTTAAGATCAGATAAACTTAGCTAATCTTGGAATGTCCTTTTTTAACTTCTTTTGGACAAACAGTAAATACCTCCAGACTTGTAAATTAAACTGTGAACCGACTTAGTTCAGCATTCTCAAAGCACACTGACCTACAATGAACATTTCTTTATTCTTTTTCTTTATTCAGCAGCTTGTTTGAAGCAATGTTATAACCCAGATGCTGTGCTATTTAGTGAGATCTAATTGTGAGCAAGAGGCTCCATTACTCTATAGAGTTTGCAATCAAGAAAAGCAGTAAATCTAAATTACAGCACTAATGAAATGACAAGCATGAAGGAAAGACAAAAACTGAACATCATTCATAAGACATAGATTAAAATAGAAATACATGTATTCTTTGGGTGTAGCTTACTTAATTTCAGAGTACATGTTTTTATATATTATGTATACAATACCAGGATCTAATGTTCTTGATTGCAGTTTACTAGGTTAATGACCTCTGGCAAGCTCCTCAAATTGCTTAGTCTATGTTCTTCACCTAAATTAGAATTAGTATTTGTCCCATTTCCTTCAGGCTTCAAAAGCACATGATAAGAACACTTTAAATGTATAAAATTGATAATTGTTTTGAACTACTTCCCACATGTCTCTGGGACCTTGGACCCGATGAGTTCTTGGTTTCGCTGAAGAAAGAATTCAGGGACAGATAGACAGACAGAGGAGTTTGAATGAACAGTAAGGCTCGTTACAAGCAAGCAAAGCAGAGGAGAGAGCACCCTCAGAGGACACTGAGCAAGCAGTCAGTGTTCCAAACTCTCAGGGTGTCAGGGCTTTTAGGATCACTGCTTAGTGATTATGTTAATAGGATGCACACAATTATGGAGTTTACTAAGAAAAAGGAAAGGCCTTTCCTGGAAAGGACTGGCTAGGGAGGAGACTATCTTACAGGTCCATTTAATACCAAGATGGGGATTTTTAAGGCTGAATATACATAAGACCACAACTTTAATTGTATGTTAATGAGGTCTTTGCCTAACTTTTGTATAGACTCTTGCAGGATTTCTACAGAATTGGACCAAAAAGCCACAGGGCAGGGGTTCATAGAACTGACAGAGTGGCAGAAATGTGTTAAAACCAGTGTGAGAATACCAGAGGGACATTGGCAATTTATTATCCCTCTTTTGTAGTTTTGCCTGTCATTGGTGGGTGGCTGCTACAGCTGCTGGTCCCAGCCCTAACTCCTCACCTAACACCCCCTCACTATATATTCTCTTTGTTTTCCTTTACAGGAGTCCAAAAATTTCACCACATTCAATCAGGGCTTTGAAGCCAGGCTTGCCCATCACACCTCAAATCCACCCTTCAGTCTGAATTCTAATGCTCAGAAACACAGGCTCACAGTTCTTTAATTTCTACAGTGGATTTCACCCTCCCTCCATTTTCCCCACTTGTATTCTTTGTCTTCACCTAGAATTTATCAGTTTTAGAATCTCGAACTCCAGTGTCCCACCTTTGGACATAACATCCTGGCCTTCCCAAAATATCACTTCCTTGCTCACATCTTGCTTACTCTAGCATGGTTCAGACCTCTCCCACAGTTTTTCCATTTAGCTAACTATCAACCCTATCATGACCCTACAGATAAGAGGAGGATCATGGGAGCGACTAGTCTGGTATTTTACTCCTCAGATTATCTGGAAAGGTTCTCCTCATTTCCAGGTAGGTCAGCTCAATTACTATGAGCAGAACCAACAAATTCAATGGTCACCATATCTAGAATGCTTTCCACATACCTGTGCTCACAGTAATTTTAAGAACCGGGTATTTCTTCTTCAATAAATGGAGGGTAGCATAGACAAAAGCAGTTCTTTTGCTGTTAGGATAAAGAATAAGACATACCTGATTATCAAGGTAGTCACAAGTCCCAGCCTTGTTTTTTACAAGGCCAAGGTTCTCTGCCAGCATAAACAGATTTCAGTTCTTGCTCGTAATCCCCTTCATCTTCTTTGAAGATTGGTGTGACTTCTTCATCTTATTTCACATTCTTTAGATGTAGAACCGCCTGTCATAGACTGGTGCCGATCTCCACCTCCAATTCAGGTGTCAGAGAAGGAGCACACCGCCAGCTGGGATGAGCCTCAGTTCTCAGATAACTCAGGTGAGATACAAGGATTTCATTACCAGCATGGTAACGCTGAATGATGCTTTATTTTTCACAGCTTTTGAAAAGAATAAACGAGGTAAAAGAAAAATAGCAAGTCTGTAAGTAGAATGAATAATTATGTAAGGCAATGTATTTTAATGCTAGTATAATTACAGAAAAATTTAACATTTTTAATCTTACCTACCCACAGGATTTTCTCTTTATTCAATATTCAATGTGTATTTATGAAATCTTTGTTAGGTTTTGTAACTGAAGATGTTTCAGTGAATTTATTGAAGCTATGAATTTATCCAAGCTATGATAACCTGGAAGTACAAACCATGCATTCTGTTGGTGTCACTAGTCCAGTTCTATGTATTCATATCATTTTTAAGCATTAGTCAAATAAATTACAAAAGGTTATAGGAAAGTAGAAAAGAATTTAAGAACATACAACTGAAGTTTAAATATTTCAGTAAGGCCTAGAAAACAACAATCAAAATGCAAAATAAATAGATTTTGTAATTGAACTCTCAATGTTCTGACTGACTTGTTAAAAAAAAATAGTTTCATAAGAAATGCCTTAACTTAGTGGGGGTTTTTCTACCATTTCTATGTTATAGCATAAATATTGAATATTTTAACATAATTGGAATGCCCAGTGATTTGCACAAATGTAAAATGAAACTTCATATGAAATAGATTAATGGCCAGTATAATGCAAAAATTCAATCCATTCTTTCCTTTCTAGGGGCTGACTTGGTGATCACTAGGAGTCACACACAAGGTGACCTTTTTCCTCAGGGAGAGACAATAGTGCAGTATACAGCCACTGACCCCTCAGGCAATAATAGAACATGTGACATCCACATTGTCATAAAAGGTATTCTCTTCATTAGACCCAGAAACCTAGTTGACATTTCATATATGTGATTGCTGTAGTCTGCTATTTTGTGATTGAAAATAGGTTATGAGCACTGGGCTTTCAAAGTTAAAATACTGACGGGTTTTATTTAGATTTCCAATTATTATTCCTTGAGCTCATGATAGAGATTTTTTTCCAGAATAACCTTTAATTACCATTTTATTTTACTAACACATTCTTTAATGTTACAAAGTATTATTATAATGATCCCAGTTTGAGTCTTATTTTTGGTGGTACTGGGGTTTGAACTTAGGGCCTCACGCTTGCTAGACAGGCACTCTACCACTTGAACCACTCCACCAGCCCATAATAATCCTCTTTTGAATGCTTGAAGAGACATACTGAAAATGTCTGTGCTACATAAAACTGTTTTATAGTTTTCATTTTTATTAAACGAATGCCAAAATCAGAAATACTTTTAGCTTTTTATGAGACATGCAGAATCCCTATGTACACATACGTACAAATTTTGATGTGTGCCAAATAGGAGCCAAAAAGCAGTCGTTGCCACTGCCCCACACTGAAGACTTGTAGCAAAATTTTCCTAGGAATAGTGGTAGACAAGAGGTGTCCTTTCAAAAACTCAGCTTAAACACTTAGAATTTCATTTTCTCAAACCACTGTACACAACTAACACAGTGTTATTTTTAACACAGCTTCTCCCTGTGAAGTCCCCTTCACACCTATAAATGGGGATTTTATCTGTACCCAAGATAGTGCTGGCGTTAACTGCACATTAAGTTGCCTGGAGGGCTATGATTTCACAGAAGGGTCTACTGAGAAGTACCATTGTGCTTTTGACGATGGTTTGTGGAAACCACCATATTCTGCTGAATGGCCAGACTGTGCTAGTAAGTTTTAATTTTGCTCTGGACCCCTTCCTTTAATGTGTGTTTGCATGTGTGCATCTCTAAGTGTTAAAGAAGAAACCTGCCTTACTGTATGAATTAGTGGAAAGTGGTATCATGAATTTGAAATGTTTCTGAGTAAGAGACTTCCTTTTCCCTGAGTTTACCATATTAACCCCCAGAGTCTTGTCATAAGTTGGGTTGCTATAGGAAGGCAGAACCATCCTGGCTACTCCTGATTTACCAGAAATACGTGAAGAGATTTGTCAGCATGTTAATTCTTTCCTGTAAACATGAACTTGCAGTCTCATAATCTGTAGAAGAGTTTATATTTAAGTTAATATTCAACACACAGGTGATAGAATAAAATGGATCAGTTGCTTTCTCATTAGATTTAGAGCTACTCTATCATCTGAAATATATGTGTTATAAAAATAACCCAGTGTCTTTCTTTGTCTAGTGTAAAATAATCCCTGTGGCAAATCTTTGATCCAGTCCTATAGATGGAGTTTAAGTGCCAATATAAATATATGTAGATATAAATGTCAATATATATGCATACATTTATGTATGTAGCTATACATATATACACACATGAAAGCCCACTTATTTAAGCTATTTTTTGCCAAATTAGGCCTCTTTCACAATTAAAAATGGTAGGATGCTAATGGAAGCCCTTGCCCCTGAGTATTTTGGGATACCTTGCTAAATGAAACAATGCAAGCCTTTAATCCGAGAAGAAATTTGCCTCTGTTGAAATTATACTTTCAAGGAATATGCTTGCACATAGTATTTAGAAACTGCTCAATGTCTATTGGTTGCAAATATAATGTAAATGTATAATACAAATTTATATAAATACAAAATGAAAATAATCTTGATTCACCCAGGATCAAAGGATTGCTTAGTCTCTCAGATCCTTACTTTTTCATATGACAGGAAGGTAAAGAATAATAGACCGGAAATCAGCCCATGTCTGAGGAACTGAGTAGAGTGCCAGTTGACCTGTAATTTATTACTACTGATAATTGCCTAGAATTTTTCCTTGTCATTTCTCAGTTTTGGAGCGATCGATCCCACAAATCACGTTAGAATTAAAAATTTAATTGTTAGTTGTTCCATAGAAAGTTAAATCTTTGTTTCAAAAACACTAACCAACTCAAGCTGTTTTGCCCAACATTTTCCAGTAAAACGTTTTGCAAACCATGGGTTCAAGTCCTTTGTGACACTGTACAAAGCCACTCGCTGTGATGACACGGATCTGTTGAAGAAGTTTACTGAAGCATTTGAAAGTACCCTGGGGAAAATGGTATGTCAGTAGTAGTCCTTTATCGTGTGTCATATTTTAAAGGACACTGTGAAAGTCATCATAGCCTCTCTGGGTCACTCACAACTGAAATTCCTATTCTTAATCATTTTCCACTTCTTTGTGATCCAGTGTTGTACCTAATATGTAGGGTTACACATTGACTTTTGGCTTCTGAAAAAATAGGGTTACACATTGACTTCTGGAAAAAATTATAAGTAAATCTGCATTAAAATGTTAATTTTTAAAAATGAACCTTGAGTCAGAAACACAGAGAAACTTAAGGTCCATATGGTTTGAGAATGTCAGCTGTATTATGTAAAGTCTGACAAAAATGCCAAAAAAACATTGTAGCTTCCTGATGAGGAGCTAATTGAACCTTTAAAAGACTTTCTTTTTAATGCATTTTTGTTTCAGTCTCTTTCAGCAATTGCAGAAAACCAGGACAATATAGTCAACTGTGTTGAACATTTTGAAGGCAGGAAACATAGTATCTCATATTTGTATGCCTGACAGAGTGGGAAGCACGTTATTTGCTTAACAAGCATTTTATAGTGCTGCTTGCCTTGTGCCAAGCATCATTATAAATATGTTAAAGGAACTACCTGGCATGCATTCAATAAACACCTTTATTAAAAAGGTTTTATTTCAACCCATTCGATAAAACCAAGTTCCAAAGAGAAAAATAATTGTCATTATTGGTAGCAAGCCAGGAAAAAAAATAATATACTCATTAGGTCACTATTACTATTGATCTATACTTTAAACACCACCCCAAATTAGTGAGGTGTTCCTTAACTATTAAATATAAAAATATTAAAAGATTGTGTGAAAGTGACTTTCACGTGTGTTAGACTCAGTATCTATCATAATCTTCATCTGTACCAGTTTAAAGATGGTAAAGTGGATCAGATGGGCTATTAAATATTTACGCATTCATTTAATTAATATTTACAAAGTATCTTTGTCCTATCCCAGACACTGAGCATTTTGATGTAGATAAAACAGCTCAAACTCATGTACTCATAGAATTTATAACCCAATGAATACACAAACAGTAATTACAAGGAAAATAAGTAGCATGCCAGTGGCATGGAGTTATGAATAAAATAAAGCTGAAAAATGGGGAAAACTCGCTAATAAGTTTCCTGTTTGAGAAGAGACCTGAAAATGAGCCAGCAAACTGCAGATATCCCTAGGGGAAGACTGTTTCATGCAGAGGGAACAGCAAATTCAGAGGCCCTGAGGCTGAGTATGTTTGGGAATTTAACAGAATGGCAAGAGTAGAGAGGATAATGGAACGAGAAGATGGTCGAAGAGATCACATGGGGTAGTGAACGTAGAAGTGAGAAATCAGACTGTGGAAAGCCTTGAAAGTCAAGGTAAAGACTTTGCCTTTTACTCTGAGTGAGATGGAAAAACCTTTCAATGAGCCCAACTTTCTCCTGACCTTGGGCAGTGGACATAGTGAGTTCTACACCAGCTTTGTCTACACAGCAAGACCCTGTCTCAGAATAAATAAATACAAAGAACACTATGGGGTAAGGGATAAAAGTCTAGAGATAGAGCTATCCCAGGAGTCCTGGGTTTCCTGTGGTGAGTGACTTAAACAGAGATAAAAATGATGAAGTCAATCCTGGTAATCTTCAAGCAGTTAGAGGCTTAAGGGGTGGAGAAAGAGGGGTTAAGGAGTCTTTTGAGGAATTTGTAGAGCCTCCCCCTACACCTATAATTTCTTGCTTCTCTCTTCATGTTCCCCTCACCTTTGTCCAAATGAAACTCAACTTTCTAGTTTTCTAGAATATTTTCCAGAAATATTCTATATTTTGGAAAAATTTGAAATTCTATAATCCTGGAATTCTGGAATTTCTGCTGATAGAGATATAAAGGCCAGGGAAGCAAAGGGCTCATCCAAAGCACATGGAGATGTGATTTGTATTTTGTCTTCTTCATGTTTTATTCACAGGTCCCATCGTTTTGCAGTGATGCTGATGACATTGACTGCAGGCTGGAAAACCTGACCAAAAAAAATTGCCTAGAATATAATTATGACTATGAAAATGGCTTTGCAATTGGTAATTACCATTATTTAGTGTCTACAGTTTACAAGATTGACTTGCAAAATAAAATAATTCCAGAAGAGTGGTGCAAACTAGAAAAATTAATTTTATTAATTTATTCATCGAGTATTTTAGAATGGCTGTATAATTTGATCTTATGCTAATGGTCATCATGGATGTATTAAATTTTGACACTAAATAAATTACATAAAAATATTGGCCAAAGATTCAAGTAGTGATATGATATCATAGAAGAGGATCGTGACAGTTGTAAAGTACTAGCAGCAAATTTTATATGGATTTCAGTGGATATCACAATTAAAACATTAATTTAAAACAGTCACACATGGAATATATTCTGATCCCTCATCCAGAATATGTTAAGACTTACTTGTTCAAGTCAAATATACTGTGAGTAGAATTTTGAGTATTTTCTCCCTGTAGACTTTGAACATTTTTATTACAGTTCTTCCTAAGTCTGGTATGTCATTTTTTCCATAATAGCTAGATAACTTGTGGGGAAAATGTCTTGGTGAAATAGCAAAAATATTGATCCAATTCATTTTAGTAGCCAAATGCATAAATAAAGTCAAAAAGCTCTGAAAACAATTTACTTAAGTGGACAAGCTATATAAATATAAATAAATAGATACAATTTATTGCTTACACTGCATGACCAAGCATGAATATGGCCAGAACAATAGAAATATCACTTAACTGAGGTTTTATAAGTCATATACTAAGCCAGATGGGATAAATATATATATGTATATATACAGTCTCATCTATGCCACAAATCTATGAGGTAAAACTCGTCTCCATTTACAAATGATGGAACTGAGGTTCAGAAAGATGAGAATGATTTGACTAAGACTATTCAACCATACAAGCATACACCATATATATGATGTCACAATTTGAAGGCCAACTGTCAATCACAGTGACATCAAGGGCATCTAACAAGTCCCACACATTCATGTTGCCTTCAGAGTGGTTACATCCTACAAGCACTTAACTTATATGCTGCTTTTGGCAACAACCCCACTGTTAAACTATGATGTGGACATGGTGAACAATCTTCTCAAAAGGAAATCTGTTTTTGTGCATGAAGTTTATAAAACCTATTTTCTTTACATTGGAGAACTTCCTGAAGGGAAATAAGAATTGATTAGAATTCTGCATTCACCACCCCCCCAATTTGCTTCTATAAAATCAGGATAATTAACTATTAACTCAAAAAGAGAAAGGTAAAAATGCCTAAGTTCATTCATAGGTACATTATTTTAGTGTAATTCTTTGGTAATCCCAATTAAATATGAAGTGCCCCAGAATGACAATGTAAGCTTGTAACCAAACCCTGTTTGTGGTGCAACGTGGGCAATTGAGGAAATGGTTAGGTGCTATTTGACTCGAGACTAATTTAACATTAGAACCTAAACAATGATGAAGAAGCAACTGTATGGTCATTTGTTTCTCTGCCCCAACTGCCAGGACCCGGTAGCTGGAGCACAGCTAACAGGCTGGATTACTCTTACGAGGACTTCCTAGATTCTGTGAAAGAAACACCCACTGTCCTGAGCAAAGCCAGGTCTCCACGGATTATAAGAAGTATCCCATCATCTGACCTCAAAATTCAGTTTGTTTTTAACATCACAGGTAAGGATAAACTGTCTATTTGAAAAAGTAATATAATGTGAAATAATATTACATGGGGTTAGAAACCTAGTTCTTAAATCTCTCATTCATTATCGTTTATTAAGCAAATGGCCCTATGGCCAAGAATTAGGGACAGCACAACCAACCAAGTTTTGTCACTCTTTTTGCTAGATGTATCACATGTATTTTATGGTCCTTTCAGGAACAAGTGCCCTGCTTTGCTTTCATCTTACCATGATGAACTAAGATATGTTTTTTTAACTGCAAGAATTTACAGCAATTTAATAAGGGATAGTAAAGATCTTCTCCCAGGAGATGATGTAGATTCGGCATCTGAGAGAATGGTTAAAACAAATTATATTGTTCTTAACACTCTCTGTGTACTAGATGTTGAGTGGGTGTAACTGAACTTATTGGGAGCTCATCCTTCCCGAAGGACTTTTAAGATACCATTTCTTTTTGGTAAAAACTAGCTACAAATGGCTTCCTGAAACACCATGTGTGTGTTATGTTATGTTTCATTTTGTTTTTAATCTCAGCTAGTGTGCCATTGCCTGATGAAAGAAATGATACTCTTGAATTGGAAAATCAGCAACGACTCCTTAAGACCTTGGAAACAATCACAAATCAACTGAAAAGGACCCTCAATGAAGAGCCCATGTATTCCTTCCAGCTCGCTTCAGAAACACTGGTAGCTGACAGCAATTCCCTGGAAACAGAAAAGGCTTTTCTCTTCTGCAGACCAGGCTCGGTGCTGAGGGGGCGCATGTGTGGTAAGACTTTTTCCTGTGATCACAAATATTTAGTTGCACATTGAGTCAACTGAGATGGATACAGCCACTTACAACAACATAGAAAGGAGTTATTTTATGTGGTTGTTATTATTACTACATTATCTCAAGACCCAAATAAGCACTACTGTCCTAGACAAGACACCTGTTTTAGGTGAGGGACTCAAATCTTTTTATTTATAGAACTTTAAACTCTTAGCAGTACCTACAATACTAGAATAGTGAACCCTGTTATCTGCAGGTCTGTGGTTCCAAGGAGAGCTCCACTGACGAAAACAGCAGGCTCAGCATAGAGTTCTGTGCTGTACTGCAGATGCTTGACTCACTGCTCCCATCATTCTGCCTCTGCTAAAGACATCCACCTTTCAGCAGATCTAAAATTGTCACTTGATTACTTCAATGGAGCCCATTAACTTTCATTTTGCTTTTGGGGTACCATTTGCTTTTTTTTTGATAAACATATTTTTACAAAATTAAGGTCAAACTCAGCAGATCACACAACAATGTAAACACAACTGACTCTAAAACCAGACTTTCTGAGCATTTCTCTACATCAACTGAGCTGCCTGATGTGTGCAGGGAATTTAAATTTTTTGTGTTTGAAATTTTTTTTATTTATTTGTTTATTTTTCACCTCACTTGGTCAAAACCACATGTAATAGATCTGCAAATAAGGAAGGCTTCCCATAGTTAATATTTTTTGAGCACTTCTATATGCTGGATAAGCCTCCTCCTGTTTGAGCCTGCTCAGTACCTTTGTGGTGTACCTTTATTATTATATATATAATACAGATGAGAAAACCAAAGCCAGAGAGAGGACTTAGCCATTAAGACAATAAGTGATATGACAAAGATTCCTACCAAAGCAACAATTTCCAAAGTCTTAACATTTTTAAAAAATTGAGGTGAAATCCACGTAACATAAAATTAACCATTTTCAAGTGTACAATTCAGTGGTGTTAAGTACACTTACAGTGTTGTGCAATCATCATCTCTCTTTATTTCCAAAACATTTCCTTCACCCTCTCCCACCCTACAAAGGAGACTCCATATCAATTAAGCAGTCATGCCTCATTTTCTCTCCTCCCAGTTCCTCACCTTTTAAGCCCTGCTCTAGACTACCACCATGTTGATCAATATCAACCCATTCCTCCATCATTTGTAGGTAATGAAAGCTCCTCTAACTAACCTCTGTCCACTCAGCTGACTCTTATCTTAATCTCTGTAGACATGCTCTTGTGCCCTGTCCAGAAAACCTTCTTCAGTGGTTCTTATCGCCATTCCAAGGACTCTGTTGAGCTTTCAGAGAGTGGCAAATTCAGCCCATCAAAAAGACACTAAAATTGTTGTCATTTGAGCATCTGCTGGTTTCCTCCCCACCATGTGCAAAAAGTATTTCTCATTTCTCAGTATGGTCTCAAGCTACCTGTGTCAGCATCACCTAAAATGCTTGTGAAATGCATCTTGACACAGGCCCTCACCCAGAACGTATACTCCTGACACTTTGATAACAGGAAGGTAGGGGACTGCATTTTTAATAAGTATCCCAGTAATGATTACACTTGAATGTCTCAGAATCTCCTATGTACTAACATCAGTGTCTTATCTGTACAAACACTAACATTGATAGCTGCCTTTTCAGTGAGTTTAATGTTCACTCTGGCTCACAATTTCTGAGCCTCCCCAAATCTACCAAATAGTAGACTGAATCTCTAAGGAAGGAAAGTTCTAAAATTGGCCTGTTTCCAGGTGGCCACTAGGACTAAGGATGCCTCAGACATGCATTCAGAAGGCAGTAATTCCTACAAGCAAATATAAGGCTCCACTTAGCGTTTTACTCTCACTTTGCCTATTTTTGTCTCTAGAAATGATACTGTAACAGACAAGCAGTTGGTCTCATAAGAGGAAAAATTTATAAAAACATCTTTAATACCAGTAGGCCTCAAATTAATCTAAATATTCATTGTTTTTCCTTTCCTTCTGACAAATGTTAATTTGTTCACTGTTTACTTCCTATGATGATCTAGTTTAATCGTAAGTTTTATCCTTACTTTAAGGCTACATCGAATAAGACTAAGCTTGCTCAATAAAAGTTTTTGGCTTCTCAAAAAAGTAAAAAATAAAAACTACTACCTTTGGTGGAAAAACTTAATTTATGAACAAGAAATACTACCCAGAAGCAATGTTTTACTACTTATGTTTATGTCAGAGGAAAAGAACTGGGGTGTGTTTCATGGCGATGATACTTTTTTCAGTGTTTTCCATTTGTTTTCTTTGCAGTCAATTGCCCTTTGGGAACTTATTATTCTCTGGAACATTCTGTCTGTGAAAGCTGTGGGATGGGATCCTACCAAGATGAAGAAGGGCAACTTGAGTGCAAGCTGTGTCCTACTGGAACTCACACCGAGTATCTCCACTCCAGAAGCATCTCTGAATGTAAAGGTAAAGGTTTTGTGGACATTTTGGGCAGAAGTAGCCTGAATTTTGTGTCTAGTTGTAAGGGAAGAAAGATTTCTTTTCTTCACCCATCATTTGGCCTGTGGTTTTGTTCCTTTATAATAAAAGACAGAATGGCAAAAGAAGAGCATATCAATTTATTTAATGTAAGTTTTGTGTGACATAGGGGTCATCATACATGAAGAGCCAACAAACAAGGAAACCTGTGTGTTTATGCTAAGTTTAATGAAGAAGTGGATAGCTGTGGAGAATTATGACTGGAATTAATGGTAATAAGCTAGAAGGGAAGGTACTTGGCAAGGCTTGTTTGTTTGGTCTCTCTGTATCCTTTTGTGATTAGAGATAAGGATATTCTTTTCCCCTGGGTAACAGGGTAGGCATCTCTCAATGAAGGTCTTATGACCTGCTTCAGGAGAGAAAGGCAGGAGAAGGTCAGAGAGGCCTTCCTGCTTCTTCAGTTGCCTCATATTCCTCAGCTTAAAATACCCAGTATGCCAAGGCACCTTATTTGGGGTATAATGCTTTGAGCCCTGTCACACTTTGTAAATCTAAATGGAAAATAGTATGAAATGAAAATACGATTAAAAGCAACTTTGCTTATTCTTTCTTTTAATTATAAACTATTACCTGAATGTTTCCCTCATTATAAAGAAATCCATTTATCTTTCCTTTTGGAAATATTCCATGGCTTTCTTTAAGTCAAACTCTAATACACGTTCATCAACTAGCCTGAACAAATTTCTTCCCTTCTTCCTTCCTTCCTTCTTTCCTTCCTTCCTCCCTTCCTTCTTTTCTTACTTTTCTTTCTTTTTCTTTCTTTCTTTTTTTTCTTTCTTTCTTTCCTTTTTCTTTCTTCTCTCTTCTCTTCTTTCCACTCCTCCTCCCTTTCCAGTCTCCATCTCTCTCTCTCTCTTTCTCTGGATATCATTATATAGCCCAGATTGACCTCAAACTTGTGACCTTCCTGTCCCAGTGCTGGGATTACAGACACACACCACCACACCCAGCTTGAACTTTCCTCTTGAATCTCACAATGATCAGTGGAAAGGACTTTCAGACATTTAGCAATCATTAGCTTGCTTTTTTGTTGTTATTATTGTTGTTAGATCAGTATTTGATATGAGAAGAGTAATTCCCTATTAATTCCAATTCTATTGGAATAGAATTGCGACAGGCACATATGCACAAATTCTTGCTACTAAAATATGCAATCTTTTCAAAATGTTCCTCCTGCCCTTCTCAATGAGGTTTCCTGATAAAATTCTTTTCTTTCATAACCACAAATACAGAAGACACACCTAACATAAAGAATTTCAAAACTGTGCCTTTTTGTCATTGTTGCCAAGGCAGGTACAACTGTTGAATGATAAATATAAACTCCAGGGTGGTGCTAGGTGATTGGAAATTCACTAAAAATGTTAGCAATGCTGAAAACGAGTGGTTTGGAGAAGAGGAAAGAAGGCTAGGGCAACTTCCAGAAGTCAGTACTTCTGGCCCAGGTCCTGCTCTATAAGAAAACCTGTGTATGTTTAGCTAAGCTTGATGAACTTAATCTCTCTGGGCCTAATGCCTTTTATTTTCTGTTCCCGCTGCCCTCACAAGAAACAGCATCTAAGTAGAAGGAGGTAGCAGTCTCGTTTAGAGCTACCAAGGTGTTAGAGGGTTATCAGGTCCCAACCCAGTTTGGGGTTTTGTCTCTGTCACTCAGGAGAAGGCTGCACAAGTTGAAAGCTTCTACATGAACAAGTTCCCCAGTGTATATCTCAGCCTATGATGATGCCTTTCTGTAGTATAGATTCCTAGCTTCATTCAACATACTGAACTACTTTTTTTTTCCTTTTTTAAATTGTTGTGCTAGGGGTACATTGTGGCATTTATGAAAGTTCTTATATCAAATCTATCATAATTCAATTCACCCTCTCCATCATTCTTCTTTATCCCTACCCTCCCATTGTTGGAATAATTTCAACAGGTCTCATTTTTCCATTTACATACATGTGTACACAGTGTTTGTACCATATTCACCCTCCCACACCCTTTCCTCACATCATCCCCTCTTCACACTGGCACCAACCCCCAGAAAGGACCTGTTCCACCCTCCTGTTCTCCAACTTTGCAAAGGAAAAAACAAAATGACATTTTTGTTTGTTTAAGATAGTTTCTTTGTGACATTTCCATGTGTATATGTATTATAACCCAAACTGGTTCATCTGCCCTATTTTTCTCCTTTCTACCTCAGCCCCTTTCTTATGGTGATTTCAACAGGTTTAAAAATTCTATATTCATTGTGTATAGAGATTACATCAAGCATATTCACCTTCTTAACTTCCTTCTTTTACTCTCCCTCTCTCATATGTGACATCCCCTTAGTGTGCTGTATTTGCATTGGGCCTATATTCCATACATGAGAGAAAACATGCAGCCTTTGGCTTTCTGAGCCTGACTAACTTCACTTAAGATGATATTCTCCACTTGCATACTGAACTACTCATTGAACATACCAACGGTGTTTGACTGCCAAATACTGATATACTGATAGATAATAATGAAAGTAACCAGAAACAAGTCTAAAACTTAATACAGAAGCAGTGAGGTGGGGGGGGTACAATGTGTATGCTTGACCGTCAAGGGGATGAGTTCTTCACATTGCTCCTTCTGTCCTATTCTAAAGTGCAGCCATCCTTATCCTGTGCAGAACTTACTTTGTACAGATACATATCATTGTTACTAATTACATTTTTCTTTTCAGCTCAGTGTAAACAAGGCACCTACTCATCCAGTGGGCTCGAGACTTGTGAATCGTGTCCACTGGGCACTTATCAGCCAGAGTTTGGTTCCCGGAGCTGCCTATTATGTCCAGAACACACTTCAACTGTGAAAAGAGGAGCAGTGAACATTTCTGCTTGTGGAGGTTAAACACTGATATTTTCTTAAGCCAACTAGGTTCTGTGCAGGGAGAAGTGGAATATTTTTAGAAAAACTGTATGTCTACTGTATGCAAAGAATGTAAACAAATATCTCTTTTTATTCCACCAGTCCATAAGACTTCAGTACAAACCCTGGGCTAATGCTGTTCAGAGCAAAACACTAGTACAAAGCTTGGTCCCAGCCTCATCAATAGCCATGTGATGTTATGGTATGGGAGAAATACATCTAAATTACAATTGAGTTTCTTTATTTATAAAATGATGTCCTTTCTAGTGCTCCCTGAATCTCTAAAAATAGAGTCTGCTGTGAATTCTGGCATTTCATTCCCTACGGTTTGAAGATGCTTGTGAGGGGCATTCACTCTTTACATTTATGTAAGTGTTTAAGAAATAGTGAAGCCCAACTTCCACTGCCAGAAATTCTAATTTAACTTGTCTGGGGTAGAGCCTGGCAGTGGGAAAGTTGAGCACCACATTTTGGTTTTCAACTGAGAGCACCAAGGACTTGTTAAAACAGATTTTTGGGCCATTCGTAGAATTTTGTTTCAGTAGATCTGGGATCTAGGAAAGGGTAACAGTCTGCACCTCTAGCTAGTTTTCACCTATTCTGCTGGTGCAGGAGCCGCATATTTTGAGAACAACTGCTTTAAATAGAAATGAGATTAGCATTCTACTTTTTATTTATTTTTTGGTGATACTAGGGTTTGAACTCAGGGCCTTGCACACTTTGCCTCTTAAGTGTCTCCCCTCCCCCATCCTGGCCCGTTTTTGTTTTAGTTATATTTTGACTAGGGCCTCAGACATCCCCAAAACTTGCAACTACTTTGCAAAGTGAGTGGAACTGTGTTAAAATAAAATGCCACACTAAAAATCATCTCTAAAAGATTTTTTAAATTGTGTAACTCCCCTCGACCCCATTCTCTATACTCTTATCGAAAAATCTAAAGTCTGTGGCAAGCCAAAGATAAAAAAGCTGTTTTCTAATTGAAGGAGTGATATTTTTAACAAGTCAACCTGTGCCTTCCCCACCTTTCTAACCTACACAGAACATTCACACACCTCCTCCTCTCAGTGCACTCAGCCTTACACACAACTGCATCCAGTAGGAGACAAAGATACCTAGAAAACAGCTGCATGGGCAATATATTGGGTACGGGGGGTGTCCAGCTTTGCATCCTGGGAAATGTCCTCACAAGTTAAGTGCCATAAGAAGGGAAAGCATACATTGAATTATGTAGGCTTTTAGATACCCCATGTGTAAACTATCTCAGTCTACTTAGGATCATGGGAGATAAAAGTGTTAGACCTGAAAAAGTAGGTAGACAGTGTTCATAACCTAATGCTTCACTGAAGAGTTGAGGAGAGAATTTTCTAGAACCTTGTTGAAACTCACAAATCTAAAGCAAGCTTCAGATGTCTTGTACTTGAACAGGCTTCACTTTATGGTTGAAACAGATCTGCTAAAGATTCGTTTTGTCGATCCACAAACTAATTTTGAAAGAAAGTCTGCAATAAAAATTTCTGTCCCCATTCCTGCTCCTCAACCACAAAGCAGCAAGGATTTTACAGTGAAATAAGTTCATATTTGACATATTTTTCTTTTTGCTTTCTAAATAAGCGTTGAGGTTTGTCTACCACCAAATTTGTAATTAAGCAGTCATAATTCCCAGAATGTCTCTAAAATTCTGGTAACTTCCCCCTTTCTACTACTATTCCTACCATAAGTTTAACCACAATCTGCTTGTCATGAGTGAGAATGGGAATTAAACTCAACATTGTCCCTTGAGGCTTGGATAAACACCATTTTACCTTAAAGTTAAGATATGTGAGTTCTAAAGTGGCTGTCTCCTATTTTTTTTCTTAGTTTTCAATGCACTCCTTTCTCTTTCCTTCTTTCTTCCTTTCTCTTTCTCTTTTACTTTTTTTTGGAATATTGTATAGTTCATCTTACTTTTGGCCAAGATATCATTTTTGCATTTCTTTAGCATGTCAAACATGAAATATTACTAATATAGCAATTATATGTAAGTTCATTGAAGTGTTTAAGTAATACATTCTCTGTACATTTCACCTTTTATCATTTCTTAGGTCTTTAAATATTCTCTCAAAGTCCAAAATTTTTCATTTTTTAAAAGTGATTTGTACCAAGAAGAATAAGACCTACAAATGACTTCTTGTTGCTGTTTTTAACATGTACCATAGGAGAAAGAAAATTATTTTTGAGCCAGAATGATACCAAAGCTTCCCCTGAACCTCCAGGATAAAATTAAAGGCAAGGCTCAGGCTGAGGGTCATTGACCTTTGCTTTTGTCTTCAAAACCTATTCATTTACTTATTTTTGTGTATACTTAAGGTATGCAACATATTTTTACATCCATGGTGAAATTCTTACTGAAGTCAAGCAAATTCACATGCTCTACTCTCTCACATAGTTATCCTTTTTTTGTGTGTGGTATTAGCAACTGAAATCTATTCCTTAGCAAATTTCCAGAATAAAATATAATATTATTATCCATAGTCAGGAAATCCATGTAAAGGAGCTGTTGAGCTCCCGGGCTGTCATGCCCTTAACACCATCAGGAGACAGCACATGCCCGATAATGTTTTTTCCTGGTGTTTTCAATGCACTATTTTAAGTTGGATTTTTAATGTCATTAAATTTTTTGGTTTATATATTCATTTATTCATATGTCCATACATTGTTTGGGCCATCTCTGCCCCCTGACCCCGCTATGTCATTAATTTTAATTTGATATTTTTTGTAGTAGGGATTGAACCCATGGCCCCACGCTTTCTAGGCTCCACCACTTGAGCCACACCTCCAAGTTGTTTTCTGTTTGCTGGTTTTTTAATTTTATTTTTCATATAGGATCTCACAGTATTTTTTGTACAGGATCTAACTTTGTCTGGGCTTACCTCAGACCTTGATCCTCCTATTTCTGCCTCCTGAGTAGCTAGGATTATAGGTATCACAACAATGCCTTGCCTTAACTTTAATATTACTTGTAGAGATGGCCACGTGGATTATGGAAAAGTTGAGTTCAAAGCCGAATAGCATCCAGTAGGGAAGAAAAGTGTTAGTTTTATTATAAAATTTACAAGCAATAGAATCATTGTGATAAGGCTTTATTTTTAATAATAGCCTTAAAATACATGAAATAAAATCTGTAACTCACAGGGGAAAATTGGAGAAATATAATTATCATGGAAAATGTTAACACTGTCCTTTGATTTTCTAAGATTAAATAGGCAATCAAAAAGAAAACAAGGTGGACATGGTGGTGTATGCCTGTAATCCCAGCTATATGAGAGGCAAGGGTAGTTGGATCACAGTTGGAGGCCAATCCAAACTAAAAGCAAAAGAATGATGGTGTGGCTTAAGTGGTAGAGTTGTTGCCTAGCAAGCATGAGGCCCTGAGTTCAATCTCCAGCACTGCCCCTCCAAAGAAAAAGTAACACAGAATATAATTGATAAACTTAAAATGATCATTATGTATTGTATTTTTTATTTTACTGTGATAACTTTTATTAAGGTATTTATTAATTATTTTTAGATATAGTAACCAAAAAGAAAATTTCAATAAATTTCAAAGAGTGGCAATTGGTCTGACCTTAAGACAACAAAAATGTAAATTAATAAAAAAAGTTTAATATAGATTCCAAACACTAACATATTTTAAGCTATTCTCCCCCTGAAATAATTGGGTAAAAAAAATCAAGTAATAATTCATATTGCTAAAAAATTGAGTAAAATGAAAATATTAATTATTCATCTACAATGATTTAGCTAAGGCTATTTTATAGACAAATCCATTACCTTATTAAATAAAAAGGAATACAAATTAATTATTTATTCAATGAAAGAAGTTAAAAAATTAGCAGACAAAACAGGACTGGCAGAAATATTTGCTCTGAGTATGTCAAAGGATTCATATCTTTAATATGTAAAATAACCATAAACAAACCCCCTGAAAATAACAGGCAACGATACAGAAAAAAAAATTACAGTAGGTATAAAAAGAATAATGAATATATCAGAAAAATGCAAATGAAAATAACAGCGCAACTCTGTTTTCACCTTCAAATTTAAAAGAAGTTTAATCGTTATTGCTTAAAAGAATGCAATGAGAACAATTTCATAAATTGCTGATGAAAGTATGAATGGGAATTTCTCTTTTAATGATTTGACATTATATATCATTATACATTTTCTTCTTATTTTTAGACCCAACTATTCAAATGCAATAATTCAAGTTTTCAAATTCAGCAACTCAAATTCAAATATTATCTCAATAATGCAATAAGCACTACGTACAGAGATCCGTGCGGACTGTTTCGCTTCAGCATTATTAGCAAGCATGTGCAAACAACCTGCATGTCCAATAGTGGGACACATATTACAATTACAGTCTGTCAGTGAGATGCAATTTTTTCATGTATCAAAATTACATTGCTTAATGATTTGGGGGATGATTTGAACGGTGCTTTTGATATAATGTTAAAAATCAATGTACAATATTATATGGCCAATTCTAATCTTTACTGAGTAAATATGTGTTGCTAAAGACAGGATGCAAAAATATTTACATGGATGGTAAAATAGTATAGGCATTAAATATGTGGAAGGGATTGTATTAATATTCAGTAGCTTTCTTACAACCAAAAGTTAAAGGACTTCTTTTCCATGTAACATGTTGCTTTATGTGTACAATGACCTGCCTTTTCTCCTTTGCAGTACCTTGTCCCATAGGAGAGTTCTCTCGTTCTGGACTAATGCCTTGTTTCCCATGTCCTCGAGACTATTATCAGCCTGACCCAGGAAAGTCTTTCTGTCTATCTTGTCCCTTTTATGGAACTACACTTAGCTCTGGTACCAGATCCATCACGGATTGTTCAAGTAAGTTGACATACTTCATATCTTACAAATCCCAGGGTAGAGACTTATTTTTGTTTATTTCTAGTCTCTTTACTTTTGAATGTCACCATTTTCTGTTTATTTGAGGTCCAGGCTTGTTAAATTGTCCTTTTAAGATCTTTTTTTTAAATTGAATTATTTAATATATTATATTTGCTATTCAACTCCACTTGAAGGCATCTCAAATTTTACTTGTCCAAAACCAGACTTCTGATATTTCACTCCAAACCTGCATCTTTAGTACTCTTTTTTTGGAAACTGGGGTTTGAACTCAGGGCAAGGCTATCTTAAAGAAAGACACTTATCGTGGGAGTGGGGGGTGGGGAGGACTCTTGAGAAATTGATTTCTCTGGGCATAAAAAGTGTCTACAAAGGAAAATACTTATCACAAGGATGGATACCTGTCCTGAAGGGAGCATCTGGCAGGATCTGTCCTTTGTTTAAAAGGATGCTCCGACAGCTATGTCTAATGGCCCAAATTGAATAAGTGGGCCAACCTTGAACTCTTTTGGCCCACTGATAAAACAGTGTGACAGCAAAAATGATTAAATATACCAGGTATAAGATCTTTTTTGATGACAATTGCTCAAAGAATCATTTTGGAAATGTTGGATTTGGTAATTTCTGAATATCTTTCTAAGAGTCTATGATTTAATGGTATGCCATCCTTCTCTTTACTCTCTTGTTTGATACTACTGAAACAAAATACATGTGACTTTACTCACTCTACAAGCAGAATTTTAACTCAAGTATTCCAGTAGAGTCTCATTATTAGCAAGACTGACAATGCACTGATATGTTTTCTTGTTAATTTTTAGCTTTTAGTTCAAGTTTCTCAGCAGCTGAGGAAAGTATCTCTCTCCCCCACTCTCCTGGACATATGCAAAAGAAGTATGAAGTCAGCAGTCAGGCAAGTCCATCTTCTACATAGAAAATTTTTCTCTGGGGGAATGCTTGGAAGATAATTTGTCACTGTACATGTCACACAAAGGACAACTACTGGGATTGAAACTTTAAGCAGACCCATGAATACCACAGATGAATAACTGTATTTTTTTATGACTTCTAGTAAAAACTTTTAAAAAATGACATATTAGATGCTCTAAGTACAAAAACTGGAGTTTTTCCCAGCAATGTCTGCTCAAGAATGTGTAGATGTAGGAGACTTTGAAGTCACTAAGAATTAACTAACACTTACCACAGGCATAACCCATCATTTGAACAGGGGAAAAAATTATTCAGGTTTCACTTCAAAATTATTTACATATTTTCATCAGCAAAAGAAATCACTTCTTGGAATAACTTGAGTTTGAAAGAATTAAACACAACTCATGAACATAACCAATTATTTTCCACTTTTTTTAAAAGACTAGTTGTTACCTTTGATTATTTTGGTAGATTTCCCCATTTCTCTGAATTCACCTCACCCAATGTCATAAATTCCTTGGCTTTATGTCTTTTAAGACTGGAAAGTTACATTTCTTATTTCAACTTCCTTTAATACAACATAATGAGTTGCTAGGAACTTATAAGTCATATTTGCAGCTGAACCTATTGGACATAGTAATTTGAAGGAAGGCTTTCAAACCTAGAGGCAATAATGGAATATACTGGTCAATTTTTTAAAATAATAATGGACAGACTCCACTCCCAGAGATTCTCATTTAGCTGACCTGGGTTAGGGCCTTCTCTTTCATATATTTAGAACATCTCAAATGGAATCTAGCTAACATGCAGCCAGCAATTAGGAACACTACTCAGATTTACCAGAACATCATTAACAATAGTATTTATCATCTGTGCCATATATGGCAGGCACCAATGTTACTCAGACACTGGTTCAGCTAGCTTGAGTGAACCCACCTGGAAGCAAGGACCAACTGTCTCAGGTTGCACCCTCTGACTCGTTAGGCAGGACTGGAATAAATAGCGTGCTCTGTCTCTGATAGATGTCTTTTCTGCCCCTGGTAGGTTTTCCATGAATGCTTCCTAAACCCTTGTCATAATAGTGGAACCTGCCAACAACTTGGGCGTGGTTATGTTTGTCTCTGTCCACCTGGATATACAGGTAACATAAAGGAATGCAAGTTTTAGTATGTTTTTTGTGAAATCATTGTGTTGTGCAGAATCAAACTTTGGAATATTCAAGCTACCTCATGTAAGATACAATACACCCTATCAGTGGGGAAAAATGGATTGAACAAGATAAACCAATAGGTAACAGAAGTATGCATACTCCACAAATAAGTTTCCTTTGCACATTTTAGAGGAAAAACAAGAATTACCTTCTCTATGAAAAACTCACATCATAACTCATAGTTTAAATTAGAATACAGTTTTTTGAGCCATGTCCCAAGTTTCATCCTAAAACAAATTAGATGCATAACACTGGACATAGAACAGATTGCTCAGCATAAACATTTTTAAACAAATTCCTAGTCATTCTCATTTGTTACACAATAGCTAAGATTTGTTGCTTTGTTTCTATCTTTCTGGAAGCTGTGCTTAGAAGAACACTATGACTTTGGATTTGGTTATGTAGGAATTACGTAAGAATTTTGTTTTCTTGCAGTTTGGTTCACATTACAGCTGAGTCCAGAAACAATTTTAAGGGGAAATGAACTGTACCTTAAAATGACAATTAATTTAAAATTATTCTGTTTTCGTCTAGACAGATTTTTGTTTTTCTAAAATTTTTTGTGCAACCAACTTGAAGGTTTTTAATGAAAAAAGGTGGTATTTAAGTAAAAGAATTGACCAAAAAAAAAAAAGTAAGCAAAAGGAAATTTGGAAAACAAAATATGTCTAGGGGCTGGCAAGAACACTAATACTGGCATTCTGGTTATTACACTTAGTGTAAATTTCCATTAACACTCATGTCTGGAATTCCTTAAGAAGTAGTGGCTCTTGTCTCAAACATTACTGGGTTGTTCTCAAACATTACTGTGCGTGGAATCATCTGGAAGCTTGTTAAAACACAAATCAGTAGCCTCAGACATCATGACAGTCCCGGAATTTCTGATTCAGTAGGTATTGGGGCAGTACTTGAGACGATGCCCTTCTATCACGTTACCAGTTCATGCTGATGCCAGAGATCCTTGATCACATTTTGACACCCCCCTAGTCTTGAGGAAGAACATGGATTTTCAGCAGAACTAGCCCTTAGAAAGCCACTCTGCACCCCATGGGAAGGTGCAGTCCACTCTTAGGCACCCGGCATGTGAGCTGAGGTGTGGCAGAGCTTAGCCCCCTTCACCCTTCAGCCAGGTAACCTTGGTAGCAAGTATGTATGACTTCGTATTTTTCACCTGAGATTTAACATAATTCCTGGCTCCAGTTTAGACTTCTAAGCTTCCCTTCCCCATCCATACTTCTAATTTGGGATCTTTTGCTATCTTCTATGTAGTCTTGTAAGGTATCTTGAGTCCATATAGAAACAGATATTAAACACTGAATGAAGTGGTAGTCTTTTGCTTGGCCACTACCCTCTCCCTGTAATTTAGACTATTGAGATAATTACTTTAAATGATCATAGTTCTGTTTCTGTTCATCTCTCTCTTTCGCTATCCTTCAATGTCTTGTTTGCATTTTAGGCTTAAAGTGTGAAACAGATATTGATGAATGCAGCTCACTGCCTTGCCTCAACAATGGAATTTGCAAAGACCAAGTTGGGGGATTCACTTGTGAGTGCTCATTGGGTTACACAGGTAAGGGGTAAGACTTATTTTTCCATTTATAGAGCTTGAAAGCATAGCACTTTCACCACTGAGGTAAATGTTATACTAATAAGGTATTATAAACATCCCAAAGAGGCATATTTTCTATTATTTATACATATTTGGAAAGTGCCATTTCTGTTACGCTGTTATGTAAAGAGAATGAAATTGCTTAAGGTTCATAAAACAGGAAGACCTGGTTCCATCTTAACCTAGTAGATGTGTGACCATAGACAAGCCACTTAACTTCTCTGAACTTGTATTTCGTATTACAAATGAAGGTCAGAAAATGAGAGGAAATATGTAAACACTAGTAAGGTGGCAATCAGTTGGTCCTTCCCAGGCTCTTCACTGGCCTGAATTTATGAAGTGTGTGTACTTTTTTCTGGGTGGTGTGTAGGCGGAGGAGGGTAATAATTGTTACTAACCATGGACTTTGGGTACTTGTATTATTTTGGACCACTCTGCCTCTCCTTTCAACTTAATGAATGCACATATTTAAGTGTGTTTCTCATTTGAGTCAGAAAGTCGCAACCTCCAACACCCTAGCCCCCAAACAGTTCAGAAACCTTACTGTCAGTTCCCTCTTTCAAAATTAGTAATATATTCTCATAAAATAAAATATGATTTACTATCTTATATGTAGCAACAACCCATAAAATTATTATGGGGTATATTGAGATCATCTAAACCACTACTGTACCTAACTCATAAGTTTAAGACCCTGTTCAAAAAGTAACTAAAGAGCTGGGGGTATGGCTTAAGTGGTAGAGCACCTGCCTAGCAAGTGCAAGGCCCTGGGTTTTAAACCCCACTACCACCAAAAAAAAAGGAAAGAAGGGAGGGTAGGAGGGAGGGAGGCTGGGAGAAAGGATTTTGCAATGAGGGAGGGAGGCTGGGAGAAAGGATTTTGCAATTCATAGAATGAATAAAAACATTTTATTTCAAAGGACTTGACAAAGAGCAACATTTTTCACAGGCTTATTAGTCATGATTTTCAATTGCTCAATTCGTATACCTGAACAACTTGCCTGAAAACTATTGGTCTTCAAGTCCTCTCAGATCTTCTCTGGCTCAGAGAGTCTCTGATTCTTTGCAGGTCAGCTATGTGAAGAAAATGTAAATGAGTGCAGTTCCAGTCCTTGTTTGAATAAAGGAATCTGTATTGATAGCTTGGCTGGCTATCACTGCACCTGTGTGAAGGGATATATTGGTAAGACATGGAAAGTATTCCATTCTTCCTGCATTGTCTTAAAATCCTGTAAAGCAGTAAAAATTAATGCATTTGCTAACAACATGCAAGTGTTATTTTGGACTTTATGAGCATAATGTGATTGTGCAAGAGAAAGTTCTCATTTTTGAATAAAGACACCCTGAATCAGATCTGCAATTTACTCTCAAACAGCTCAGAAAAAAGCAATATGTTCGTGTGTGTGTGTGTGTGTGTGTGTGTGTGTGTGTGTAGGTAAACTTTCAGGAAAGACCTGGAAACAAATGATATAAATGATATTTACAAATGAATGTAAATGGAGAAAAATAATACATTTTACAAATGGATGCTGCAAACTCATGCAAGATAAACTAGTTAAAAAAAAATTCTTCAGTGACAAGAAGTCCAAGAAAGAAAATAGCCCATGAAGGAAACGCCAAAGAAACAATGAAAATTTTTGAACTAAATGTACTAATTATATTTTTAACATTATCTCAGTAGATGTCCATTACTAATTTTAGTTTCAGAAGGAAGATAAAAACAGCAGATTATCAAAAACTGTGGAGTCCTAAAATGACTCACAATTACAACATGGGTCCTGAACTTGCTTGAGAGACCGGTGACTCTGCCACCTCTGAGTGGTGTCACCCCTTCAGAAGCAGCATCCTCTAAAAAGCCAACTCTTTGATCAGTTTTCCTAGCGAGTTTATCATTTGGACTCTTTCTCCTCCTCATCCATCCCCAGGTCTTCACTGTGAAGTGGAAGTCAATGAATGCCGATCAAACCCATGCTTAAATAATGCAGCTTGTGAAGACCAAGTTGGGGGGTTCTTGTGCAAATGCCCACCTGGATTTTGGGGTACCCGCTGTGAAAAAAACGCTGATGAGTGTCTCAGTCAGCCATGCCAAAATGGAGCCACTTGTAAGGATGGTGCCAGTGGCTTCAGGTAAAAGGCTAAGTCTGGACTTTTGCCTGTTTTTATTTTCTTGGCTAGTCTCTCATTTTTTGAATCATTGTAGAATATTACTGTGACTCTCAACTCAGCCATTTGTAATGCTGCTGTGAACATTTGTCACATGGATCCTTATGTGTCTTCTGCAATGATCCCTGGAGTAGCTAACAAGAAATTGATATACAGGGCTCTGCAAATGCACGTTCTCCACTTCTCTTGGCAAGTTATAGTTCTACTTCCTGACTGTGATTTCCTATTTCACAACATTTATATTTTCCATTCTGGCAGGCTTAAATGGTTTGTTGCCTACCACAGAGACTGGCACACTGATTGAGAACAAGGTCCAGAATCCCACTCTACCACTTAGCAACAAGAAGATTTGGACAAATCACTTCACCTTTGTAGCCACAGTTACACTTACTGTAAAGCAGAATTATTACTACAATGCTATCAACAGTGACTTACATATAGAAAGGCTTTAGAATGGCCATTTGAACTTTTTATATTTGTCCAAGAACTTGCATAGAGAAACCACAATATATAAATAATATTTCACCTGGATCAGAACTATTTCCCACTTTTTTTTTTTTGCTTCTACATTTCTAGTACATGTTGTCTTAAATAGCTTTAATCAGATGAGCTAAAAAATGTGCCTAATCAATAAAACCCTATTCAGATATGGAAAATATGTTTCAGCATTCATTTCGATTTTCAAAGCCTTCTGATACAACAAGGTCATCACAAATGGAAGACTCCCTTTAACATCTTTCTGCAACTCTTCAAATTGCTACAACACTTTGTTTTCTTTTAGGTGCCTGTGTGCATCAGGTTTCACGGGGTCACGTTGCGAACTGAACATCAATGAATGTCAGTCTAACCCATGTAAAAATCAGGCTACCTGTATGGATGAATTAAACTCATACAGTTGTAAATGTCGGCCAGGATTTTCAGGCAGCAGGTGTGAGACAGGTATATATGAACTAATTTATTATTAACAATGCTAGAAACAGTAATATACTAACAATATCGATGTTTACTATGCTCTGCCTACATGCAAAACCATGCTAAGCACAGTGTACTTATTTACTTTTTTTTATTCATTTTATTTTTTTTATTGTTTTTTTTTCCTTTTCATTTTTCTTTTATTATTCATATGTGCATACAAGGCTTGGTTCATTTCTCCCCCTGCCCCCACCCCCTCCCTTACCACCCACTCCACCCCCTCCTGCTCCGCCCCCCTCAATACCCAGCAGAAACTATTTTGCCCTTATTTCTAATTTTCTTGTAGAGAGAGTATAAGCAATAATAGGAAGGAACAAGGGTTTTTGCTGGTTGAGAGAAGGATAGCTATACAGGGCATTGACTCACATTGATTTCCTGTGCGTGGGTGTTACCTTCTAGGTTAATTCTTTTTGATCTAACCTTTTCTCTAGTACCTGTTCCCCTTTTCCTATTGGCCTCAGTTGATTTAAGGTATCTGCTTTAGTTTCTCTGCGTTAAGGGCAACAAATGCTAGCTAGTTTTTTAGGTGTCTTACCTATCCTCACCCCTCCCTTGTGTGCTCTCGCTTTTATCATGTGCTCATAGTCCAATCCCCTTGTTGTGTTTGCCCTTGATCTAATGTCCACATATGAGGGAGAACATACAATTTTTGGTCTTTTGGGCCAGGCTAACCTCACTCAGAATGATGTTCTCCAATTCCATCCATTTACCAGCGAATGATAACATTTCGTTCTTCTTCATGGCTGCATAAAATTCCATTGTGTATAGATACCACATTTTCTTAATCCATTCGTCAGTGCTGGGGCATCTTGGCTGTTTCCATAACTTGGCTATTGTGAATAGTGCCGCAATAAACATGGATGTGCAGGTGCCTCTGGAGTAACAGTCTTTTGGGTATATCCCCAAGAGTGGTATTGCTGGATCAAATGGTAGATCGATGTCCAGCTTTTTAAGTAGCCTCTAAATTTTTTTCCAGAGTGGTTGTACTAGTCTACATTCCCACCAACAGTGTAAGAGGGTTCCTTTTTCCCCGCATCCTAGCCAACACCTGTTGTTGGTGGTGTTGCTGATGATGGCTATTCTAACAGGGGTGAGGTGGAATCTTAGCGTGGTTTTAATTTGCATTTCCTTTATTGCTAGATATAAGGAATAAAAGGAATACAAATAGGTAAAGAAACTGTCAAAATATCCCTATTTGCAGACGACATGATCCTATACCTTAAAGACCCAAAAAACTCTACTCAGAAGCTTCTAGACATCATCAATAGCTATAGCAAGGTAGCAGGATATAAAATCAACATAGAAAAATCATTAGCATTTCTATACACTAACAATGAGCAAACTGAAAAAGAATGTATGGAAACAATTCCATTTACAATAGCCTCAAAAAAAATCAAATACCTAGGTGTAAACCTAACAAAAGATGTGAAAGACCTCTACAAGGAAAAATATACACTTCTGAAGAAAGAGATTGAGGAAGACTATAGAAAGTGGAGAGATCTCCCATGCTCATGGATTGGTAGAATCAACATAGTAAAAATGTCGATACTCCCAAAAGTAATCTACATGTTTAATGCAATTCCCATCAAAATTCCAATAACATTCATTAAAGAGATTGAAAAATCTACTGTTAAATTTATATGGAAACACAAGAGGCCACAAATAGCCAAGGCAATACTCAGTCAAAAGAACAATGCAGGAGGTATCACAATACCTGACTTCAAACTATATTACAAAGCAATAACAATAAAAACTTATTTACTCTTCACAGTCCTCCAATAAACTAGATACTATGATCAATACCCCAAAAGCAGAGATGAGGCCATTGAGACTTAGAAATGTAAGGGGAAATGGATAAAATTGAACTTAGCAGAATGCTTCTATATGTTTAGAGAGGAAAATGTTAAGCCACTTGACTTAGAAGGTAAGCATCCACGGACACCTTTGAGAATCAATAGATCAATGCTAAAGTGCTTTCTAGAATCTTTTAGCTGAAGGGCTCTTGTTTTATGGAGTGGATTTTGCATGTTTGGGGCGCAGCTGAATTGCTCACGAGCTAGGGAATGTCTGAGTGGGAGCAGATGCTGCCCTTGAGTTCCTCGTGCTCTCTCCTGCAACATCAATCTCTTCCTCTCCACTGATTCCTTCTCATCAATAAGCAAACATACTTGATCTTTCAGCTTGTATAACACCCCAGTTATACCTCTCCTTTCCAAAGACTCCCTTATTTCTCTGCTTCTTTCCACAATTGAGTGCTTTTCCTACCTTCCTACTCACTGGTTATTTCATTTAAAATAATATGCGATGCATTTTGTAAATAATCTGTATATATTTAAATTACTTCTCAAATAATTCTATTTACTGAAAATTAGCTTCTTTGACAGTAGTGCTACTTACTTTAGACTGTTGGAAATGCCTCACAAATGCCACAGTCTGCACACTTCCTTATTGGTTGCAGAACAGTCTATAGGTTTTAACCTGGATTTCGAAGTTTCTGGCATCTATGAATATGTCATGCTAGATGGCATGCTTCCAGCTCTCCATGCTATAACCTGTGCCTTCTGGATGAAATCCTCTGACCTCATCAACTATGGAACACCAATCTCCTATGCACTTGAGGACAACAGAGATAATACCTTCCTCCTAACTGATTATAATGGGTAAGCAGAAGTGCCAGGACTTCATTTTTTTTTTGGTGGGACTTCACTTTGTGACATTGGGGGATAGGGGAAGAGGGAGCATGAAGGGTTGAGGCAGAAGAATTACAATAGCCAACTAGAACATCTGGACAAGTTCTGTAAGACAGCAAAGTTTCAATCATAGCTGCTCACTCACATATTGTGTTTTGCTGCTTACTACGCATTTTCATGTTTTCATGTGTTGCTTCATTTCACAATGGCCTGAAGAATTAGTGCTCCTTCCACAAATGGTAAAACAAAATTTCAGCAAAACTAAATGATTTCACCCAAATCTCACACTCTGGGAGGGGCAGATCTAGCTCTCAAACCCAGACCCTAAAACTGATGCTCTTTCTTCACATAGCAAGTCCTCCAAAGGATAAGGGAATTTAGTGCCATTATTGAACCATAGGAGACAGGTGGATTGAGTATGAACCAGTCCTCAGGCTTAATATGCAGTCCTCAGGATCAATTAATTCTAACTCCAGGGCCCCTTCCCTCTGCAGTATCTGTAAAGTCACTTCAGTTTTACCCAGAGGTTTGCTAAAGAGCTGCAGACTTGGGCAGGACTTTAACCATTGGTCATCTGTCTACACGTCTCATTTCTCAGACATCCACTGGCTCAGCCTCTGTGGTCCCTTTAAGATCACTATTCTATTCCATATGTGCAATCCTTGGCAAGGCTGTGAGTCCATGCCTTTAATCCGGATAGACTCTGATATGTCCCACAGGGCCTTTTCTCTCAGGTCCACCAACATTGTAGGCCTAATGAACAGGTTGAAGGCTCTAGAGACCCAAGAGCTCTCACTCCTCTCCGTAAGTGCAAGGAGTATCACTAATCTGGTGGAAATCTCCCCATCCTCAAACACTGCTCTTCTTAGTGGACTTAAGCTTTCATGGAAAAATTTCAGAAGTTAACAAAAACTTGAGGCAAAATATTATAGATACAACCTGTTGCCTGCTTGAATGGGGAGGGGAAAATGCACAAAGGAAGCAATATCACAAAAATATTACTTTTTCATAAGCATCTTTGAATAGAGTTTGAGATGATTCTATGAGAGGTACTTAATGAATTAATTTTTGCCTTATCAACTCTCCATAATCATTTCTTTTTATCCTTTTGCTTCTGAAGAGTTTTCACTTTAAAATGTTTATTGTCTTTGTTGTTTCCCTAAGTGATGTGATTGTTGGAAACCTCTTCCAACTGGCCACCCTTGCTTAGTTCCAATTATTTTTTTCTTTGAATTGAGGTACTTTGTCTATTGCGTGACTACTCTGGTAACTGCCTTAGACCATTTAGCTGATAAAACAAAATACATAAATCATAAGGTGGCTTATGATCAGCAAAAATGTATTCCCATCGTTCTGAAGGCTAGGAAGACTAAGGTCAAGGCAGTAGCAGAATCTGTTTAGTGAGGACTACTTTCTTATTCATAGCTACATGTTCTTGCTATGTCTTCAGATGGTGAAGCAGCAAGGAGTCTCTTTGGGGCCTCTTTTTATTATTTTTAATTTGGGGTTTTTTTTGAGACAGAGTCTTGCTATGTAGCTCAGGCTGACCTAAAACTGGCAGTCCTGCTGCCTCAGTCTCTCAAGTGCTGGTATTATAGCTATATGCTTCCATACCTACTTTTCATGGCCTACTTTATCCCAAATGCCCCACCTCCTAATACCATCACATTGCTAATGAGGTTTAAACACATGAATTTTTGACTTTCCTTCCATGGGATGTGTGAAACACATCCCTATGTTGCTCATAGAAACATACATTCCAAGGGAAGGATATCTGACATTTGTACAATTCTCACTTGTTCTTAACTCTCCACAATAGCCAGGTGGTGAATTGTCCCAAATTGGACAATTTTCTTGGTTTATCCTATGACTTTTTCCTACCACTCAGTAGTTGAAAAACATAGTGTCTGATTACCTACAATTTAGTGTAATTAATAAACCAAATCTGCTTCTATGAAATATGATCAAATGGAAAAAAATGACTAATGGGTTTGCATAAAGTACTTTACCCACAAAAAAAAGAAAAAGAAGAAAAGTAGTGACATGCCCCACAGAAAGGATTGCAACATATGACTAATGACTGTCTTCCCTGGAACCTTTCTCTCCACAGCTGGGTTCTTTATGTGAATGGCAAGGAGAAGATTACAAACTGTCCCGCAGTGAACGATGGCAGTTGGCATCATATTGCAATTACTTGGACAAGTTCTGGTGGAGTCTGGAAAGTCTACATCGATGGGAAATTATCTGACAGTGGTACTGGCCTCTCCGTTGGTACACCCATACCTGGTATGTCTCAGCAAAATGAGTATAGTTCTGTCCATCTCTGGAGATAGTGTATTGTGTGCTACCTTTGTTGTCCTTGATTTCAGACAGGGATCCACCTCTCCTCAATCATCCAGACTCTAAGCTATTAGAGTCTGCTTTTTTCTAGGTGAACTGTGTGATTGTGTATAAGAAATGCCTTTGGGAATATAGATTCATACTACCACAGAGCAACTGAGCTAAAAGGTGTTTGCTAAACTTTTTCCAAGGAGGAAATTAATTCTTGGTGTTTTTGCTTGTTTGTTTTAGGGACTTTGGGAGGGGTGTGATCAGTATATAAGCTGGACTATTACTAACAGCTGTTTATCTTTTATGCCCCTTATCAAATAGAACTCAACCTCTCCAAAAAATACAGATGCAGAGAGCTTTAGTTTGAAAAATGCAAAAGTTTACATGGCAATAAGTTTGCTTTATCTAGATACATCAATATAAAGATGATGTAGATGACTTCTTTTGGATTTTTTTTCTCTTTTGGTGGCAGTTTTAACCCAGGGTTTGGGACTTGCTAAGCAGACACTCTACCACGTGAACCACATCTCTAGCTCTTTTTGGTCTGTTTATTTTTGAGTAGATCTGACTTTTTGTGGGTCATCCTGAACCATGATCCTTCTATTTTATGCTTCCTGCAATTGCTGGAATGACAGGTGTGTATCACCACATCCAGCTTTTTCTATTGAAATTGGCAAGGTAGCCTAGAACCAGGATCCTCCCAGTCTCAGCCTCCCACATAGCTGAGATGACAGGCACATGCCAATGTGCTCAGCTCTTGATTGAGATGGGGTCTTAAAAACTTTTTGCCTGGGATTGGCCTCAAATCATGATTCTCCCAATCTCCATGTCTCTAGTAGCTGGGATTATAGGTGTGAGCCACTAGTGCCCAACTGATGACATTATTTTTAACTTTCGTCATTTATTTCAGATATTTAAAAATAGTTCCTAGGTAAACTAAAACTAAAAATAATTTAAAATCTTAAGAACTAACTAATAAGACAGGTGCCAGTAGCTCATGCCTGTAATCCTAGCTACTTAGAAGGCAGAAATCAGGAGGATCACAGTTCAAAACCAGCCCAGGCAAATAGTTCACAAGACCCTATCTCAAAAATACCCATTACAAAAAAGGGCTGGCAGATGCTCAAGGTAAAGGCCCTGAGTTCAAGTTCAATTTCAAGCCCCAGTACTGCAAAAATGAGAACTAACTAATATATTCTGGAAGTTAGTTTTATTGAATGAAGAATAAATATATTGAGATTACCTTTGCAAAACCCCAAAAGATCTTCATTTTATTTTTTTAGAAATTATTGCCTATGCCTTGTTTCTTTTTTAATACTAAGAAGATCATTAGAGCATTTGCTAGGTGGGTGAGTCACTAGGTGGGTGCCATCCACCTGGAAACCCAATGCTGAGCAAAACTCGTGTGCTCCCTGCTCTCCAGAAGGTGTCACTATGAAGGGGGAGTGGGATATTAACTCAATAATCACACTAAATGATGTGTGACTCCACACTGAAGTAAACACTGTGGAGGAATAAGTCCTGTTTCATAAAAGCTTATAACCAAAGAGCTTATGTAGAATGAAGAGCCATTGGAGGCTTGGAACCATGTCTTAGCTGAATTCTCAAGGATAACCAGGAATTAACTCATGAAGGGCATTGCCCCTTACTGAAAGAGCTACAAGAGACCAATGCATCTGGAAAGCAGAATGAAAGAGGGCATGAGGGACATGTGGCCAAAACAGGTCAAAGCTGGATCACATAAAGCCTTGTAGGGGAGGTTATGGATTGAGACTTTCATCCTAAAAATAATAATAAGTCATTGATGAATTTTAAGATGGCAGAGGCAGGTGGCTGGAAGAGCAGTCAGGCAGTTCCTAACATGATCAGAATGCAACAATAAGGCATGTGTGAAAATCCCTAATAAAAAGGTCTTTAACCAAAAGACAAAATACACCCCAGTAAAGGGAGGTCACTGAGAGTTAATGTCAGAACAAGAAGAAGCATTTACTATGCCTCTACTAGGAGGGAAACTTGGGCACATGAAAAGCAAAGGAGAAAGGAGATCTTCCTTAAACAACCCTAGACTATTGAAGAGGTAGACAAAACAGATCCATGGATTCTGGATGCATATCCACCCCCTAAGTACTGGCCAAGAACCTGTCTTGTCAACAGAGCAGCCTAAGTGTTGAAGTTGCAGAAATGACAGCCTCAAAGAGCAGCGCTACCTGTAAGGAAGGACAAGGGCATGTATTTTATATAAGGAAAAGAGGGAGAAGAAAGCTCATGAGATTTAATGAATGTAGGCAACAAAGGTCCATTTGTAAAGAAATGGATTGGGGAAGATTAATCTGGAAGAAAAGGAAAGGGAAACAGACAAACTAGAAAGATCAAATAAGTCATTGTAAGATAGTAATATTGGGAGATTGAGATGGACATACGATTATAAGATTAGGATACCATGTATAAGATTTTGATGAAAGCACATTCAGCAAATTTAAAATATCTTGGCCTATCGACATTTGCCTCTTTATAAAACATATGTGAACAGGACACCAATATACAACCCAAAAGTTTGTTGTAATGCTATTTATGCCCATTACCCTTTTATGTAAATTTAATACTTTTATAAAATTTGCAGAATGTTCTTGTCATGATGATCATATGAGTGTGATAGAGAGTAATTGTTGCCATTTTAGAGATAAGTAAAGAGCAAGGTGTATAAAAGTTGAAATGACTCTCAAATCACATTGCTGGAGTCTAATACCTTTGACTTATTTCTTTGCCTCCTCTGCCTTTCTACTTAAATTAGCATATTGATTCCATATATACCAAGTGTGGGATCTTTAAGAACTAAAACACACAGAAGTGGTTGGAGCGATCCCAGGGGCTATGGACAGACATCCTCAGTATATGTCATACACACCATGTTACTTTATTCTTTCTTGCTTTTTACTCACTCTTTTGCCTAGAAGCTCTTCATAGCTCCTATCTACATAAGATTAACTCCTGTTTAATGATGAAGACTCAAATCTGAAAGTCTTCCCAGTCCCTAATCTCTCTCTCCCTCACATTCAATTTCTTCCAGTTTTCCATCATCCTACACAACTCCATTGTCCTATTCGTCACACTGTACTGGAAAGTACCAAAACACATACACTCTCCTTAGAATTATAACCTTCCAGAGGCAGAAAAAGAAGTTAGCTCTGCCTTGACATCTGCAAAAGTCCAGATCCTGCTATTGTGGACAGCACGTCACTAGTAGCTTCACAAGCATCTACTGAACTCAACTCACCTGTCTTGAAGGCTGAGTCTGAGCTGGCTGGGCAGGAGAATGGTGATAGATGTCAGAGATGAAAAGACCTCTTCATGCTCATGCAGGGAGCCATGAATGGATTTTATAAGAGAAGAAGTGGTTGAAAATTCCTTATAGCTGTAGCAAAGGGTATGTGGAAGAAAAGAAAAGGAAGATCTGATGGGAAAAAAAGCTGAAAAATAGCCTGCTGTTGGACTGTAATAAGCCAGTATATGTTCCTCAAGGAATGCACATTGTTTTCTTCAGTTAGTTGGAAGACATTAAAGATGTTTCAATAAGAAGTAGTATTATAAATAAAATGGTGTGTCAGGGCTGTTTTCTGTATTTAATTTAGTGGGTCCTTGCTTCCAACTGTCTCTTCTTTAGATGGTGAGATCACTGGTGATTGTTTTTTAATTTTCTTATTCCTTTATGATATTTTGATAATGAACATTATGTTACTTTTATGTTGAGAAAGGAACATTTATTTCTTTAAAAAATTAAGCCCTAATGGAAGATTGAAAAGTCAATTGGAGGAACAGGAAAATAAAACCACAAAATTCTTATAGTAACCAGCTACGGAGATGATTGTCTGACCACAGCAGTAAGGATAGGCAGGATTAGAGTCCATGATATTACAGAACTCCAGTTGACAGCCTTAGTGGCTCTCTTAGTCTGCTCAGGTGTCTTAAATAACAGAAATTTACTTTCTTATAGTTCCAAAGGCTATAAGTCTAAGATTAGGATGCCAGCTCTGTTTCTTAGTAGGGTCTCTTTTTCTGGACTTTCATAGTCCCTCACTCTGACCTCACATGGGAGAGGGAAAGAGAGTAAGCTCTCTGGTGCCTCCTCAACTAGACTAATTACTTTCCTGCATACCATCCCAGTGTGTATGAATTTGGATGGGGACACAATTCAGACCATAAAATGATTGACAGGCCTCAATTTGGGTGACTAACTTATGGAAAAGTATGTTAGTTGAGATAAGAATTCTAAGGAAAGAAGTTGATGGGAGGGGGAAGATCATGTATTTGGTTTTAGACTATTGAGTTTGAAATCTCTTGTATTTTTAGTGACAGAGATACACACAGCTAAAAATATAGATCTGATACAAGTTTATAGCAAATTGGCAAGGTTGTTTTTAGTGACAGAGTATAACTGGCATGGATTCAACATGATGGCAGGCAAAATTGAGAACCAAAATATGCTAGCAAAAGACACATGGCTAGCAATAATGAAAAGTTGTAAGGGATGAGCCTGAAGTGACAAGATATAGGAGTCATTGCCAGAATTTAGGTAAGCCAGTAATGAAGGAAATCACTCAGTAGAAGTAATCACGGTAGACAGGGACAAAAAGCAGCCCCATCACAAACTGGTCTTTGAAGCCAGAGGACAAGAAAGTCAGGTGGTGTAGCATATAAGTACAACCTTTGCAACACAGAGCAGAGTAGAGAAAGATGGAAGGTAGATCTGATGGGACAAACACAGACCACTCAGTATAACCAGGAGAGACAATTTAGTAGCATGAGATGTCCAATAAAAATAGATGACACAGAGAAGTCATGAGAGATAAATACTGAAGTTTCCTTTGGATCTAACAATTAGGAGGTCCCAGGCAACTTTAGAAGGTTTCTTGGAATTTGTAATACAAATTATAGCATTGTAGCCTAAGAAATATGAAAAATGAAGAACAGCCACTAATAGCCTGTCATGGAAGGTAATTTCTTAGACAGAAGTAAGCAAGGTAGGACTTACCTATTATGTTGATAATATGTGTTATGCTTATATAAATATGTATTATGTATAGTTTTATACTTATATATTTATAAATACAATATAATAATCTGAGCCTCATCCAACTATTTTCAAGTTGTTATATAAGCTTAATTTGAATTTGTCCTTATAAACCATATAGTAAATTTATTAATATAGCTTTTTGCTAGTATTTTTCATATATTTATATTGGCTGTTCTTTCACTAGATTAGCATTTTGGGAATAACAGACCATCAGACCAGTTTTCCTCCTTTTTTTTCTCTTTGTCTGTCTTTAGGTGGCGGTGCATTAGTTCTTGGGCAAGAGCAAGACAAAAAAGGAGAAGGATTCAACCCAGCTGAGTCTTTTGTGGGCTCCTTAAGCCAGCTCAACCTCTGGGACTATGTCCTTTCTCCACAGCAGGTCAATTCCATTTTCACTGTATGACAGTAATGAGATGCAAAGGTACAAACCTAGTAAAAATGTGAACAGCCTAATGATGACATATCTTATTGTAAACTCTTATCAGAATTTATCAGTAATTTTCAATGATCACCCATTTTAGTTTCTTGGTATTATTCTGATATTTTACTGGAAATGAGTATTTTATAAAAATCTTATAATTTCAGAACTGGAAAGAATCATAGAGAATATTTCAAAGCTCTCTGATTTGCAGAAACTTAGGGCTGGCACAAGATTATGCCTAGATAGCAACTGATAAGCTAGTAGTTGAAGGCAGTCTGGACTCAGCGAGGATTCAAATCCCAGTTCTACCACAGACTTGTTGGGATGTTCTGAACATGTTGCCCCCATCTATTTAAGCTTCAGTTCTCTTATCTATAAAAGATGGAGACAGCAGATTTTTGACAGGATTGAACATATACATTTTTGACATTGTTTAGCCCATAGTAAGGATTCATTCTTGTTATTATAGTGGCAGAATTTCCCAAAGTCTTAGTTTCCTCAACTCTATGTCAGAGGTCAAAGACATAGAATTGTGGGGTGGGAAGGTTTTTACAAAATCTCTTAACAAACTATAAATGTTTAGACAAGAAACTCTATGCTTAGGATTCATATTTTCAGGTAACTTTAAGACTAAGTGGGAGAGGAAATGCTGGAGGTGAGGGAGAGGAAAGAGAATTTTCTTATTGCCCCTGAGATCACAGCAAAATCCTGCTTTCCTTCAGCTCCACCCAAAAAAAAAAATCTGTGGCTATTTTCATAGAACTAAATTATGACATAATGACTCCATCTTCTTGGAACAAGTAAGACTTATCTAAAGATGTGTTTTTAAACTTTCAGGTGAAATTGCTGGCTACTTCCTGCCCAGAGGAACTCAGTAGAGGAAATGTGTTAGCCTGGCCTGATTTCTTGTGGGGAATTGAGGGAAAAGTGAAGATTGATTACAAAAGTATATTCTGTTCTGGTGAGAATTTCCTTCTTGCATGGACTTTACCATCTCTTGGAGTTTTCTAGGGAATGGAGATAATTTAGAATTCTCAAGTCATTGAATCATGGGTGCCTGGCAATATACTCCTTCACTAGTAGTAAGGTATCGATAGATAGATAGATAGATAGATAGATAGATAGATAGATCTTAATTTGAATTTGTCCTTATAAACCATGTAATAAATTTATATAATATGGCTTTTTGCTGGTATTTTTCATATATTTATATTGGCTATTCTTTCACTAGATTAGCATGTGGGGAATAAACAGACCATCAGACCAGTTTTCCTCCTTTTTTTTTCCTCTTTGTCTCTCTTTGTCATTACATACATATATATATATATATATATATATTACATATATATATATATATATATATATTATGTTCTTCCAAGGAATGCTAAAATACATTCTACATAACAGAATACAAATTAACTGGGGATAAAATTTGGACAAAGGTAAAATAAGATTAGGAGGATAGGGTGAGAGGAAGAACAATTATTTTGTATAAATGCCCACTAAAGTTCTAAGCTCTTATTTGATATAGGGTTACTCTTTTGGTCCTATACTTTCTAGGAACATGTAAAACATGGAGTAAAGAAATGAATTTTGCATCCACACATTAAATAGATTCTGGAGAATCAAAATTCTTTCCTAAAGTTAATATTTAAATGAGTTTCTTAAAATGTCCTAGAATTCATGGCCTTTGGTAACTTATGAGAACATTTCATTAATATTCATAAATACCACTTTCTTTTAAAAAATATTTATCAGATTTCTGTTGAAAGAGGGAAAATTATTTGTTGGCTTGAGTAGTTTTTTCCAATAATTTTGCCTGCCAGTGATTAGTGTACATGCTGACTTGTTTTACTCTCAGTAGCGTGGCTCTCCCACAAAACAGGATTTGGCTGGGTGGAACTGCTGTTGTGTTGCTTACAAGCTCTGTGCCTGTGTTCTTTGCCCTCAGATTGTCCATCTTTAGATGGATCAGTACCCCATCTGAGAACTGCATCAAGAGATTTAAAGCCAGGCTCCAAAGTCAGTCTGTTCTGTGATCCGGGCTTCCAGATGGTCGGGAACCCTGTGCAGTACTGTCTGAATCAAGGACAATGGACACAACCCCTCCCTTATTGTGAACGTGAGCTGTCTTTTGTTTAAGTCGCTCCCATGGCTCTTGAAAGACATTGGAACCAAAAGAACACTTTTCAGGAATCCTAGACAAAAGCTAAATACTTCACAGTAGCAAACATAGCAAACACCCATTGAATTCTTCCTTTGTGTAAAGAACTGTGCCATGCACCATAAGGAAGGTGGGCGACAAAGACCCAAACAGACAACTGGAAAATTCACCTAAAGTGACTCCATGAACTAGGTTTGGGGAAAAGGCAGACTGTGTAGGCTGGTGGCCCAGAGGCAGGTGGTTCATTACTGGGTGGAAAAACACAAAGAAGTCACCTGAGCTGAGTGTACCCATTGTTCATTTACGCAACAAATTTTAAAGTGCCTACCACGTGCCAGGCACTGAGTAAGTTCTGAAGATGCAACATTTGGAGAAAAAGTCACTGAACTTACAGAGTTTACATTCTAATAGGAGAGAGAGAAAAATAAGCAAGTAAAATATGATACTATTTCTTTCTTTTTGCAGTACTGGGGCTTGAACTCAGGGCCTATACTTTGAGCCACTCCACCAGCCCTTTAATTGTGAAAGGTGTTTTTGAGATAGGGTCTCGTGAAACTATTTGCCCCACCTGGCTTCAAACTACAATCCTTCTGATCTCTGCCTCCTGAGTTGCTAGGATTGTGGGCATGAGCCCCTGGCGCCCAGCCATTATTTTCTTATAGTAAATAATAATGCTAAGAGCTGCAGAAATTAAGCAGGTAGCAAACTACAAGAAAGGGGTTTGATGGAGTCAAAAGTACCATTCTAGACAGAAGAATAGAATTGCACCACTTGACCCCTGACAACAGGCATGCATTTACCTGTTTCTTGTCTATCTCACTGAATAGTAAGTTCCATGAGGCAGAAGCTTTGACCATCTGGTTCACTGCTGTAAACCTAGCACCTGGGACATCTGTTTTTTTAATGAATGAATGCCATGCCTACTATGAGCCAGACAGTGTGCTGCTTGCTGGGTGTGTACTTGTGGTTCCAGCCAGCTACCACTCCTAGAGCACTCTCCTATCAATGTCTGTGTGCAATGAAAAATTCTTGCTTAACTGAACTTTCACAGAACAAGGTTAACACAAAGAAGATGTGTTTTGAGCATTTTCTCTTAAAGCAGTGTGTTCTTCCTGGTCCCATTCCAGGCATTCGCTGTGGGGTGCCTCCCCCCTTGGAGAATGGCTTCTATTCAGCCGAGGACTTCTATGCTGGAAGCACAGTGACCTACCAGTGCAACAGTGGCTACTACTTATTGGGTGATTCAAGGATGTTCTGTACAGATAATGGAAGCTGGAATGGCATTTCACCATCATGCCTTGGTGAGATCAATGTTGGCAGTTGCTCTGTGGGTTTATTCTAACTCAACAACCACAAATTCCTGAGGCTCTTTTAGCATTCCTTTGTTAACTTCATCTCGTCCCAGTAAACTCAGGTCAAACCACAATGACAAGGCAGCTGTCTGTCCCTGGAGTTATCAAAAATGTCTTAAGTTTCTATCAGGATAGTAAGACTATCACTTCCTGGCCCTGTTCTTCTGCTTGCCAACCAATAAACTAAAGATGTGGTAGCTTTTATGATAGATCTGCAATATTATTGTGACTGTCATATTTAAATTTTATAAAAATACATAGTGTTATACACTAAGTGATATGTAGTGAGTAAGAATGAATGTTTGATTCATAAGCTGCCTTCCATTTAGATGTCGATGAGTGTGCAGTTGGATCAGATTGTGATGTGTATGCCTCTTGCCTGAATACAAACGGATCCTACATATGCTCTTGTATCCCGCCATACACAGGAGATGGCAAAAAGTGTGCAGGTAACATATGTGTAATTGGAAATTCCTACTGTAATTTTTAATGCAACTCTAGATTTTAAAGCTATGTTATGTGGAAGTAGACAATAATTACAAATTCAAAAGGCATGCAGATAGATGGAGAAGGTAAATATAAAACACACTCCAAGTAACAACCAAAAGGGTATTAAATTTGCCCAGAGCTATGTTGCCAGGATGTTGAAGAAATGTTGACATAGTACAAGAATAATAGAATGGACCTAGAAATATAATCTGTAGCTTTTCTGCCTTAATCAAAGACTAGAAAATGCTTTCTCACAACTTCACCTAAAATGTCTGTCCTCTGCCTCAGTCATACAAAATTATATCATTAAAGAAAATAGCTATCATGACTTACCACATCTCTGCATTCTTCTGTAAGAACTTTGATAATACTGACACATCTCTCAACCATTGATACCTTTCTATATTTAGTGTAAGGACACCTACCAGAAAACAGTAAGATAGAAAGTAAAGAGAAATTTAAAATGCTGGTTTAAAGCATCTGGCTATAGGTTCTAAAAGTAAATTTGGAATTTGAGACAGAGAAAAGACCCAGGAGTTATACATGATATAGAGCTCATGCTTCCCAGTGTAAAACAGGAGAGAGGATAGAGAGAGAAAATAAAAAATAACAGTAACAATCAAAACAAAATATCAGTGAGTCACACAATAGAAGAAGAAACATAAGCTAGGATAAGATAGGAAATCTTTCAGTTAAACAGAGACTATCAGATGTTTATGAATACATTATCTTATTCTCAGGCTGAAAATTTGTATACTATTTGTGTACTATTTAAGAACACAATGCAAAACTAGCCTAGGGAAATACTTGATTTAGATACATCTCTTTAAAAGATGAATAAAATTAAACAACATAAAATGTAGGAATTCTGGGAAAAAAAATCCTACTTAAGGTGAAGGGAAAATAATCCTGAAGACCCATAATATGACACTGAAAATGAGTTAACACAGGAACCAAAAGGAAATCTCAAAGGACTACTTATACACAATAGAAGACAAAGAGATATCACTTCTATTAAAATTTTGAAACACAAAGTCATAAGAAGATGCTAAAATTCAAACAGGACAGAAAAGAAAACATTACAGAAAGAAAGGAAAACATATCAGACATTGAGCTTTGAAACCAACTTACCATGCGGTTTGGCCTGAATAGATACTCTAAATTTAGGTTCAAAATGCATGCAACCACTGTAATATATTATTGAAATGTAAGTATTAAAAAAAATGTATTAACAATTATATTAGCAGTGTTAGGTATATGGGAAGGGTAAGGAAATATATGAGATTGGTGTTGTAGGTGAGTTTATGAAAGACTAAGAGGGTGTTGTTTTAATCTATATATGTATATAGTCAAATAAATGTAAATTGAAGAATATTTTCAAAGATTCTTAATTATTAAGCCCCACAACTTCCTTGAAGAAATATGCTAATTATTAAAACAAGAAAAAGTTGAAATCATCTTTAATCCCACCACCCACAAATGCCTCCTCTTAGAAATCCAAGGTATATACTCCAATATTTTTCTATATGCTATGTACTTAAAATATGTATATACCTATAGATGTATATATAAACACATAAGCGGTTCTTTATTTTCAGTTATTTCATATAATATTATATCATGCATATTTTTTATGTCACAAAGTAGTTTGAGAAGATGATCTTAATTCCTGCTAGCCTCCTTTGTAGATTTCTCATGATTAACTTTTCTCAATATGTTAAAACTAGATGACATCTACTATGGAAAATCATTTAATAAACATCTTTGCACATAAATCTTTGTGCTTACCTCTGGCTCTTTTTCTCAAAAATCCAGCATTATGATTGCATTATATTTTTTTGAGAGCGTTTGCCCTAAATTCTTTAATTTATATAGCTCAAATGACCTTTTGAAAGGTTTAATGTAGGCTCCCATTTTGAGAATTCAAGCACTGTATTTGCTGTAGCATTGATAAACAGAAAATTCCACATTCTTACATCCTACGTGGGTGCATCCAGGCAGGATGCGAGGATGGTGATAAAAGTTTATTAGAAGTTAGTGGAAGGAGTTACGAAAGGCCAGGGTGGGCCAGGAGGAAGCTGGAGGCAGAGAGCTCTCTGTTTGAAGGCTGCTTTTAAAAAATGGTGTTAATCTGTGGGAGGGGAAAGGCCTGGCATTTCCCAAGCACCAATAATAGGCAAGTGGGAGGGGTTTGGATGGGGTAGAGGACCGCGCTGCAAGTATTTACAATTGGAAAGGAAGTTTAGCAAGAAAGAGAGAGAATGCTCAATCTGAAATACAGTGTGTTGTCGTTTATGTCTAAGAGTCCTGACCTTTCCTTACTTTACCCTGCCTCATATTCACTTGTACTGCTGAACCACATTGCTTTAGCAGTGGTAACTGAGCCCAGTTTGTACCTAGAGGGGCTTATCATCCACAGTCTGTTTGGGAAGGAAGGCTGGGTATGACCCTGAACCTGCAGTACAACACTGTATCAGCTGGAGATCAAGTCAATTGCTCTTGTAAAATGAGTGGGCTAGAAGTTAGCCTGGCCCAAAAGACCAAAAATCGTATGTTCTCCCTCATATGCCGACATTAGATCAAGGGCAAACAAAACAAGGTGATTGGACTTTGATCACATGATAAAGCAAGAGCACACTAGGGAGGTATGAGGATAGGTAAGACACCCAAAAAACTAGATAACATTTGTTGCCCTCAATGCAGAGAAACTAAAGCAGATACCTTAAAGCAACTGAGGCCAAAAGGAGAAGGGGACCAGGAACTAGAGAAAAGGTTAGATCAAGAAGAATTAACCTAGAAGGTAACACACATGCACAGGAAATTAATGTGAGTCAACTTCCTGTATAGCTATCCTTATCTCAACTAACCAAAACACTTGTTCCTTCCTATTATTGCTTATACTCTCTCTTCAACAAAATTAGAGACAAGGGCAGAATAGTTTCTGCCTGTAGTGAGGGGTAAGGGGGAGTAAGGGAGGGGGTGGGAGGAAGAGGGGAGAAATGACCCAAACATTGTATGCACATACGAATATAATAAAAAAGGGAAAAAATAAAAATAAAAAAAAAAATGAGTGGGCTATGGTGTATTGGGAGGGGCAAAGCCCTCTTCAGCCATGCTCCTGCACCATCACTACTTCCCCAATAAACAACTTCCTTTTTGGTCATTCCTGTTTCAAAATATTATGTTTTATACTCCTGGCCTACTCCCCAAGGAGTCTCTGGCCTTCACATATCTCCCTACAAAAGTTTTTCTCTCAGTATTTTCTTGGGTACTTTAAATGTAGTGGAATTCCTTAGCTGTGAGACTTTGCATGGCCATGTGAAATCACATATTCCACCAAAACTTTCTTTGTTTCAAGAACCCATAAAATGTAAGGCTCCAGGAAATCCAGAAAATGGCCACTCTTTTGGCGAGATTTATACAGTTGGTGCTGAAGTCACATTTACATGTGAGGAAGGACATCAGCTGATAGGAGTGACCAAAATCACATGTTTGGAGTCTGGAGAATGGAGTCACCTACGACCATATTGTGAAGGTACATTGAGCAAATTTTCATGTTTAATTATGTTAAGTAATCTAAGAAAAGTCACATGTAGACATGTCAACTGTTACGTCTTCTTTGTATTTGAAACTCAAGTATTAGGGTGGTGCTTAAATGAACAACAAAAAACAAACACCAAATCTAAAAGCAGGCCATGAGAAGAGGATGAAGCAGGAGGATCACAAATTCAAGACAAATCTAGAACTGTCCCTCAAGCTTTCAGAGATTTTTGTACACATGATCTTGGAAAGTCTCGCTTTTTGTTCTCCCTCCTTTCAGCTGTTTCCTGTGGTGCACCAGCTATTCCAGAAAATGGTGGCATTGATGGGTCAGCATTTACTTATGGCAGTAAAGTGATATATACGTAAGTATTAACAATTAAAGTCACATTACAATTGTTAATGGCATGCCGGCAGTATAAAAGTGGGGATATAATCCTAAAGGATGTTTCTGAATTAATATGGAATTAATTGAGTGAAGTAAAAAAATTGAATGAGGTCTATTGGGAAGAAATATAATCCAATAATCTAATGGCAGTCATATCTGGAACCCTTAAATCCCCTGACCAGCAGCCTACTGTTGCCACCAGTGTTCCCTTGAGGCGCCATGAAGATAGCTCTTTGGAGGAAGGCACTTCCAGCTAATGAATACTCTTAGTTATTATTAACGGCTGAGATTCCAAGTCTGATAGCAGAGGAGCTTCCACTAGCACACACCGCTCTTGAACCAAGAATTTCTGTCTGCAGCTACTCATCTGTGGCATAAATTGGAGACCAGTCAAATTCTTTAATCTATCCTTTGCTTAAGAATAGTATTCAACAACCCTGAAAAATGCATTGTTGGAAAGTATCATTTCAACAGAGAAAAAGAGAAATTTCCAAGTATATGTAAATTCCCAATAATTTTTGAGATTCTTGGTACTGATAAAGTTATGGAAAATAAATTACATTCTATATTTTTCCTCTTTTTCAGGTGTAATAAAGGATATATTTTAGTTGGTGATAAAGAATCATCCTGTCTTGCTAGCGGTTCTTGGAATAATTCTTCTCCTGTGTGTGAACTGGTGAAGTGTTCCCATCCTGAAAACATAAATAATGGAAAATACATTTTGAGTGGGCTAACATACCTTTCTACAGCATCATATTCGTGTGAGGATGGATACAGGTAAGGTGTGGAGACCCCAGCCCAGCTCTATAATACTACTCTGCTGTTCATTGTGTGCTCACCAGGTTTCATTTGTATGTGATTGGCTGACTTTAAAAACAAATATATAAACATAAAGATAATTCTCAAATTTGCATGCTTCCTGAGGCCTAACTTGCAGTAAACACCCAGGGAACTCTTCAGTCTAACTGTGACTCTGGGAACCCATATAGTTTGTTTGCTTAAGCATTCAGACTTTAATGATAAAAGCAAAAATTGTGAAGGATAACACACATTACCTGATGACTGCTTTGTGATGAGTCTTTTTTTTTTTATAAGCAGCTTACCAAGTTTATACTCATGACTGCGTGAGGATGCAGAGGTAAGGGCCTAGATCTTGGTGCTCTAAGAGGTTAATTTGATTAATGGTGAGTGTGTTCAAATTGAAGGAACAAAGCAGAAAGTCAGGTTATGATCAGAAAGGTAGTCAACAGGATCTGAAGTAAAACAGATGGAGCAAACAGGAAGTAGAGTGCATAATGCAAGAAATCAGATCACATTGCAAGCCAAGGTGGGTAGCCATGGCGTAGGGGTACAAACTCTGTAAAGTCAAAGGAGGACCAGGGGTCAGAGTCATGAGTAGTAACATGGTTCAAATGCTCAAACTCATGGTAGGGTTGGGGCCCTTTGTTCTCAGTTACTCTGATTACCCATCTGTTGAGGTAGGAGTCTCCCTTCTGCCTGGATACTAATTATCCCATTAACCCTTCTTATCCAAATCTGCTATTCACAAATTCAGAAGCGCCCTATACCATTACCAATGAGCACATTAAACTTTATTTTGTACCAAGTAGTTGTTGTTACGTTGTCTTAACCCATTTGCTGTTTTAAATTGCTTAGATTTCCTTGTTTTTATATAAAACGATAAACTATGAAGAAACATTCCGTACTAAAACTTCTTATGTCCTTCTGTCCTAAGTCCTTCTATTTCATCTCCACAGCAGTAAAAACTTTAATCAATGAAAGGGATGACAAGTCTTTCCTTCCTTCTGTAGCTTACAGGGCCCTTCTGTCATTGTATGCATGGCTTCTGGCAGCTGGGATAGAGCGCCACCTACCTGTCACCTTATCTTATGTGGAGAACCTCCTGCCATCAAAGATGCTGTCATCACTGGCAGTAACTTCACTTTTGGGAGCACTGTCACTTACACATGCAAAGAAGGGTGAGTAGCATGCCTCTGAGGAGAGGCACATTAAGATCCAAAGGAAGGGACATTTCCTGACCGCAGACATAGGCTCCATCGGACATAAAATTAAATTTCCTGGCAGCCAAAACCAAAAAAAGCTTTGTGCTATGATTTTCTGACAGTCAAAAGGGAGCATATTTTCCTGTGGAAACAATGTTTTCCTGGAATTCATTAAACTTATTAAATCAAGTCTTGAATAACAGACATTGGGCAATGCAGTGAAAACTATCTTTCTACTTTAACCGAAGAAGTATAAAATAGAGTTAAGCAAGCATTTAGGAATTTATCTTCTGCAAAACCAAGGCAAGACTTTAAGCCACCACAATGAGATGATATCTCTGCAGGAAAACAAAATAGATAAAGTTCAAGCTTGTACGTTTCTGATGATCTTCCTTAAACCAGAGATAATATTTGGAAGAACAAGAAGCAAATTATAAAGGGTTTCCCACTCACTGCTTCATTTGATCTTCAGGAAAGCCCTGGGGGTACACAGAAGGGAAGGACTCATTCTGGGTGATCTGCTTATGATCTTGGGGCAGCCAATAAAGCACTGAGAGATAGTTAAGTCCCAGGTCATCAGATGTGCATTTCACTGCAGTCATCATGCTTTTTCTTTTTCCATGTTTCCTCATCAAATATTTTCACCATTCCTAGTGTGCTCACTACACATTTGGAAGCAACAACAGAAAGGAGTTGCTTTTCTCTGGACTTATATCTCAGATGTGCCCTTCACTAACTGTGTGGTCTTAGGGAAGTGGTGTGACCTCTCTGTCTTCGTTGTCCTCTCATGTAAAATTAGTTCATTAAAGGTCCATACTGCGGGATAGTGTGAGAATAAAATTATATAATGCATAGCTTAGTCAGTTAAAAAAAAACTTAGTAAACCCGATAAGCTTACCATTACTAAGCTGACTGGAGCCTAAATGAGTTTCTGTGCTCCCCTGGAAGTTGGATTTCATTTCACCCCTGCATGACTATGCCATAGGCACAGGACTGCCAGCAGGTGGCGACAATACTTTCTTACAAAAGAGTCAGATGCATAAATAGCTGTCTGAAATCCCAATGTTTTTTTTAAATTGATGCATAGAAACATAAATATTGGGGTTGGGATATGGCTCAAATGGTAGAGTGCCTGCCTAATAAGCACAAGAGCCTGAATTCAAACTGCAGTACTGCCAAAAGAAAAAAACACAAAACATGGTACATATAAATAGGGTATCATATAATGTTTTGATGTTTACATCATGTAATATTTACACCAGGGTAAACATACCTATCTATTCAAATATTCATCACTTCTTTTTAAACGTTTTTATTAGTATATCATAGTTATACGGGGAGGGGGTTGTGGTAATATTTCCATATATACATATATTGTACCGGGTTTGGTTCATCCTTCCATTATAATTCTCCATAGTCCCCCACTCCCTTTCTTGAAATGACTTTGACAGGTTTCAGTGTTCCATATTCAAACATGTATAGAAAGTTCCTCAACCATATTCACCCTAACCCTTCCCCACAATGGAACCCTCCCTTTAACATGACCAGTTTTACTTTCCTGTCTTTCATTGTTTAAGTGTCGGTTCATTTTGTTTAACCCCCTCTATTACTCTCCCTTACCCTTTTCTCCACCCCTTCCCACCCTCACTCTCTCAGGCCTCAGGAAACCACTATTCTAGCTCTAAACGTCATGAGACCAACTTTTTGAACTCCAAATTTTGGCACCTTCTAAAGTGAGCAAGAAATCTTTAATATTAAAATGCCAGTGTAGAAGTGGCTTCTGAAGCCCCAGCTGTGCACTGTGGATTGACTCACAGTCAGAACTGCCCCTCATGAACTGTATATGACTATTTAAAAGTAGTCATGTAAGTGTTTGTGAAACCTCAGGAAATATACAGGCTCCAAATGATTTCTTGGTATCCACACCTTCTGGGAATTTTTTTTGATAAAAAAGTAATGCATGACCATCACATAGAGCTAGAAAATCCAAATATATATATGTATATATATACATATATATATGTATATATATACATATATATATTTAAATTACCCATAATTTTACTACCCAGAAACAAATAATATAGTAATATTTTACTTCAATAATGCCTTAAAATTTCCCAGAATTTTTTTGTCTTAGGGTATTTTTTAATATTAATGATCATGATGAATGCAAGTTTATTTTTAGGTTCATAAATCATATTTTTCTTCACAAATAGTTCACCTGTATCATAATTGTTAAGTCCCTAATGTTAAGTCTATCTATGTCTTAGAGTGCTTTATTTAAAGAAGCAACAAAGACAGAAAAATAGAGCTGACACTGTGATTCGTGTCTGTATCTCAGCTATTTGGGATGCAGAGATTGGGAAGATTATGGTTCAAAGCCAATTTGGGGAAGAAAAGAGTAGTTTTTTCCATAAACGTTGAAGATATTATTCCATTATTCCATGCCTATGACTTCCAGCGCTGCTACTGAGAATTCTGTTATCAATTTAATGTAGTTCCTGATCAAGGACAATTTTCCTTCCAGGGACATTTGGGAATATCTAAAAAAACTTTTGTTGTCACACTGGAGGAAAGACACTACCAGCATCTGGTGATTGTAGGTCAGGGATACTGCTAAATGCCTCACGATGAACAGCAAAACCATTCCCAGTTAAAGAGTTATCTGGATCTAACCTTTTCTCTAGTACCTGTTCCCCTTTTCCTATTGGCCTCAGATCAAAAAGAATTAACCTAGAAGGTAACACCCACGCACAGGAAACCAATGTGAGTCAATGCCCTGTATAGCTATCCTTATCTCAACCAGCAAAACCCCTTGTTCCTTCCTATTATTGCTTATACTCTCTCTTCAACAAAATTAGAGATAAGGGCAAAATAGTTTCTGCTGGGTATTGAGGGGGGGAGAGGGAGGGGGCGGAGTGGGTGGTAAGGGAGGGGGTGGGGGCAGGGGGGAGAAATGAACCAAGCCTTGTATGCACATATGAATAATAAAAGAAAAAGGAAAAAAAAAGAGTTATCTGGAGCTGGGGATGACTCAAGTGGCAAAGTGCTAGCCTAGCAAATGCAATGCCCAGGGGGTGGGGCAGGGAGGGAGGTGGCCCACACAGTGTGTTTATGTGAGTAAATGTAAAAAATGACAAAATAACTAAATAAGAAGGAGTCTTCTGGTCCACCCAGGTGTGAGTGCCTATAATCCCAACTATGCAGGAGACAGAGATGGGAGGATTATTGTTCAGGCAAAAAAAAGTTAACAAGACCAATCTCAAAAACAAGCCGGGTGTGGTGGCAAACACCTGTAGTCCCAAAAGGTGAAGGTAGGAGAATTCCAGCCAGAGGCCTACTCTGGGCAACAATGCAAGATCCTATCTGAAAAATAAACTAAAGCACAAAATGCTGAGGCTATGGTGCAAGTGGTAGAGAGCTTGCCTAGCAAGCTCAAGGTCAAAGTTCAATCTCCAGTGCAGGAAAAAAATTAAAAAGAATTATCTGGTCCAAATGACAGAAACACAGTGCTGAGATTGAGAAAGGTGAACTGCTAGTCTCCTTAAGTAATCTCTTTTCCTTTTGTTTTTTTAAATTTTCTTTGTACTGGGATTTGAACTCAGGGCCAGTCCTGTGCTTGCTAGGTGGACTCTACCTCTTGAGCCACACCTCCAGACCTTTTTGCTTCAGGTACTTTTTGAATAGGGTCTCACTGTTTCTGCCCAGGCCATTCTGGACTGTGATCCTCCTGCTTGTGATTCCCACGTAGCTGCGATGACAGACACATACCCAGCTTTCATTGGTTGAGATGGAGTTTTGCAAACTTTTTTCCCTTGCTGGCCTCAAACCACCTCCTAAGTAGCAAGGATTGCAGACAGAAGTCACCGTGCCCAGCCTCCCTTTGATTATTTTTTAACTTGTGCTTATTATTTCCTTGTATTTGTTTTTGGTTTTGTGCTAGTACTGGGGTTTGAACTCAGAGCTTCGTGCTTGCTAGGCAGGTGCTTTACTGCTTACATCACCCTTCCAGCCCTTTTGTGATCAGGTTATTTTGGGAAATAGGGTCTGGCTTTTTTTCCCAGGTCAGCTTGGACCTCAATCTTTCTATTTTATGCTCCTCACCACAGTTGTGGTGACAGGTAATGCACCACCTCACCCGCTATTGGGGTCTCATGAACTTTTTTTTGCTCTGGCTCACCTTAAACTTCAGTCCACCCATCTCAGCCTCCCAAGTAGCTAGGATTACAGGCGTGAGCCACCACACTCAGCTCTTTATTGTTTTAATGCTTCGGTATGATATAACTATCAGTGCTTTATTGTCATTCATCTTCTTTACTAATCATTGTACATTTGAGAATGAAGACCTTCCACCAATTTTTGAAAATCCTCATTTTCAAAGCAAATATTTCTTCTTACTCACTTTCTCTTTTTTCTTTCTAGAAGTCTTTGTGTGTGTGTGTGTGTGTGTGTGTGTGTGTGTGTGTGTGTAGGACCTTTTCATTGTACTTTTCATCTATTTTTCAACTTGTATTACATTTGGGTAATTTCCTCATATATATCTTCTGAGTTATTAATTTTTTCTTCTACTATCTGCAGTCTGTTTTTGAAGGGTTGATTAGTTTTTTACTTTCTTTTGTTTTTTATATCTAGAATTTCTGGTTATTTTTTAATATTTCTCTTTTTTCTGATCACTTCTTTTTAAATAGAATTTTGAGTCTTTTGTCTTCACTTCAATATACTTTATACTATTCTTAGATGATAGTTTTCTTCTATTTTCATTTGTTAAAGTTCTAATCTTGTAATTTGTTCTGTCTGCTGACCCTTTCACGATGGAAAGCATGCTTGTGTATGTGGTATAACTTCAGATTGTCTCCTTATAGTAGATTTTTAAATATTTTTCTACAAGGTACACCAAAAGTATTACCAGCCAAGAACCTAATTTTATATGTTTACCAGCTTGAAGGTTTTCCAAATAAAGTGAGCAGTATAAA